TAATAATTTTCTAGATTTATTAGACTTGATTAAATAATAATTATAGAATTATAATTATAGATTATATTAATGAAGTTAAATAAAGATTATAATAAGATAAAAGTAATCTTTTAAAAGATAATTAATAATTATAATAGTAAGATTTTAAAATATTTTTTATTTTTGTTATTAAGATATAAATATTTAGATATAAGAGCTTAAAAAGAAATTATAATAATTTCATTATCTATTAAATAAAACGTTACTTAGAATATTATATTATAAAATCTTTTCTCTTATATTTAAATACTAATTCTTATATTATATACGAGTAAGAATTTATAAATAAAATTTATAATTATTTTATTTAAGAAGTTATTAAGTAAATTTAATAAGCGATATTTAAATACTATATCTTTAAAGAATTATAAGATTAAATCTTAATATTTTTTTATTTTTAAAAAGCGTAAGCTATAGACTATAGAATAAAAAAAAAGATTAAAATTTTAATAGAAAATAAAAAGGTTATTCTAAAATTAAATAATATATATTCTTTTTATTAGAGCTGTCGATAAATTTCGTAACTAAACTTTAATAAGCGATATTTAAATTTCTTACGCTTTAATAACTATAAGACTAAATTTAATAATTCTTTTTTTTATCTAAAAGCGTAAGTTTTATTCTATAATTAAAAAGAAAAATTTTAAAATTTTAATAGAAAATAAAAAGGTTATTCTTTATATAAACTAGTATATATAACGAGTAAAGGCCTATAAATTAAATTCATAACCATTTCTTTTAATTAGGGCTATCGAGTAAACTTAATAAACGATCTTTAATGAGCGATCTTTGGTGCGCGATCTTTGATAAGCGATATTTGAATTCCTTACGCTTTAATAATTATAAGACTATATTTAAAAATTCTTATTTTATCTAAAAGCCTATATTTCGTTCTATAATTTAAGAAAAAAATCTTAAAATTTTAATAAAAAATAAAAAAGTTACTCTATATGTTAATAACGTATAAAATTTTTTTAATAAGAAGCGTAAGGGGCGGTTTTAATAGTTACGGACGCTAATTTATTTACTCGCGATAAATTAGCCGATCTAGCTAAAAAGCGTAGAGAACTCGAATTAATAATTAATTATATATATAAATTCAGATTTTCTATATAGCTCTTCTTTTCTTTTATATATTAATAGAATAAGATAGGTTAAGTTTAAAATCTTAAATTTATATATATAACTAATTATAAATTCGAGTTCGCTTCGCTCTTTAATTAGATCGACTAAGTTATCGCTACTAAATAAATTAGCGTTTATAATTATCAAAATCTCGCCCTCTCGCGTCTCTCTTATTAAAAAAATAGGTATACGTTATTCACATATAGAATAACTTTTTTATTTTCTATTAAAATTTGAAATATCTTTTTAAATTATAGAGCGTAGTTTACGCTATCTAATACTAAAAGACTTTTATAATTCGATTTTATAATTATTGAAAAATAAGTAGCTTAAATATTATTTATTAAAGTTCGTTAATTAAAGTTCGCTCGATAGCTCTAATTAAAAAATAGATATATATTATTTAATTTTAAAATAATCTTTTTATTTTCTATTAAATTTTTAAGATTTTTTATTTAAATTATAGAACGAATTATAAACTTTTAGATAAATAAAATATTATTAAATTTAGTCTTATAGATATTTAAATATAAGAATATTAGATATCGCTTACGAAAGATCGCTTATTAAAATTTACTCGACAGCTTCAATTAAAAAAAAAATGGTTATGAATTTAATTTATAGACCTTTACTCGTAACGTATATTTATTTTTTTAATAAGAAGACGCGAGAGAGCTAGCGGGCTAATTTAATTAATCTAATTAACGAGCGTAGTAGACTCGAATTTATAATTAACTATCTATATAAATATAAGATTTTTTAAATTACCTCTATCTTATTCTTTTTAATATACTTATTTTATTCTTTATTTAAAATCTAGATTATATAAATATCGCGATAATTTTAAAATTGAAATAAAGAAATAAATTATAATATTAAAGAAGATAAAAATTTATAATAAATATAAAAGAAGATAAAAATTCTTAATTTATTTTTATAAATAATATAAAGAATTAATATATTTTTAAGTAACTATATTAGCTAAAAAAGATATCTACTATTAAATTAAGTAGATATTTATAAGTTATAATATAAATATTAAAAAGCTATATAATAAAAATCGCGAATAAGATTTTTTCTTATTAATATTATAATTATTAAATTATATAATAGCTTAAATTTATATATTTTAATAATATTTTCTATCGAAAGATAATAAGTTAATTAATATTATTAAAGAGATATTAATTAATACTTCTTATAAGTAAAATTAATAGAAAATAAGAAAAAATATCTAATTAATAATAAGAGGTCTATTATCTACTTCTAATTAAATTAAATTTATTTAAAATATTATTAAAATCTATAATATTTATTTTCGAAGTTTTAAAATTAAAAAGGTTTCTTAAAATGATTAAAAGATAATAAATTTATTAAAGTACTACTTAATAACTCTTCGCTATTAATCTCTAAATTCTTTATAAAAGCTACTTCTTATACTTAGTAATAGCGAAATAATAATTTTATACTTTTAAATTTTTAGCTATTTATATTATTTATCTTATAAATTCTCTTAATATTTCTATTAAAAGTTATAATTAGTTTTAAAATGTAATTCTTTTTTATTATAATATCTTTTTTATATAGCGAGTACTTTCTATTTATAGATATACTTAAAAATAAATAATACTTCTCAATTAAGATTCATATTTATATTTTTATAAATATTACTATTTAAAAGATTATTCGAATTATTTAGATATTTATATTTATTAAATATATATTTTATTTTCTTTAAATCTTTCTTTTTATTAGCCTTAATGTATTTATTAAATTTACTTTTATCTTTATTTTTTAACTTTCTAACCTTTTCTTCTTTAATCTTATAAATAATATCTTAAATTCTTACTATTATAATAAATTTATATTTAACTTAATTTATAATAAATTCTTTTCTAGCTATTATTTAACTTATAATACTTTAGAATCTAAAAATCTAATATCTTATTTTATATTCTTAATATATATATATAATTAGTATTATCGCTTATAACTTCTTATTAAAATAATTATTATTATACTTTAAATACTTCTCTACTCGCTTATCTTTAATATTTCTCTTTTTTCTTATACGCGTATTAAATATAGCTAATTCTATAATATAAATCTTAAATCTTAGATTTTATATAAAGCTAAAATAATACTTTATAGTAATTAAATATAAACTTTTAATTTTTAATATTTAATTGGATGTTAAATAATTTTATTAACTTTAAAATAGAAATTTTTATCGATTAAATCTTTAATCTCGATATTTTTATTTTATTAAATATCTTTATAAATAAAGCTATAAACGATATAAGAATATAGAGATAATAAAGATTCTATATTCTTATCGATTATCTAGATAAGCTTTTTTAAGAAAATTTTATACTTATATTTTATTTAAATTCTTATTTAATTTATAAACGTATTTTATAATTTAATTATATTTTATTTATATATTTAGAAATATAGATTAACGCTAAGTACTATCTCTTTCTTAGTAATTTCTTATTAATAATAAGTATTATATTTAGACTTTTACTTCTAATCTAATTTATATTAAAAAGATTATTATTATTATTTAATTTATAATATTTTAGAGTTTAAAAATTCGAGATTTTATTTTCTATATTAAAATTATTAGTTATATATCTTTTTAAATAAAAAGTTCTTATTAATAAAAGGAATATAAAGAGATTATCGTTGTAATAATAAATTTATATATTTTTAACTATCTTATTTCTATTTTTATCTCTCTTATTATATAAATAATATATTATTTATATAAACTTTATATTCTTAATTATTAATATAACTCTTTTATTATAAATAGTATAAAGATTATTAATTAAATAACTTATTAATAAAATAAGAACTTAATAGTTAATTAGTATATAATAAAATTTCGATATTAAACTTACTTTAATAGCCTTTTAAATTATATAAGTAAAGATTTATAAATTAAATTTATATATTTTATTTTAATTAGAGCTATTTACTTATTAAAGATCGCTTATCTATTTACTCGATAGCTCTAATTAAAAAGCGATATTTAAGTTTCTTACGTTTTAATAATTATAAAATCAAATTTCAAAAATCTTAAAAATTCGAAAAGCGTAAACAGCGCTCTAAAATTTAAAAGAAAGAATTTAAAGTTTTAATAGAAAATAAAATAGTTATTTCTATTATAAATAACGTATATCTATTTTTTTAATAAGAAGACTCGAAAGAGCTAGCGGGCTAACTTAGTCGATTTAATTAAAGAGCATAATAATTCTAAATTAATATAATAGTAGTAGCTATAATAGTAATAGTTATAATAGAAGTAATTATAATAAGAGTAGTTATAATAGAGATAGCTATAATAGATAATTATAATAATAGTAATTATAGTAGTAATAGCTATTATATTAAATTTATCGAATAAATATATTTAAATATAGAAATTTTAGTCGAGATATCTCATATATATATTATTTCATAATATTATATTATAGATATATTATAACGTAGTATATATCGTTAAGATTCTATATTATACTAGATATATCTTATTGACACATGACAGGGTTTGTTGGCGATGTCAGCTGTCAGGTCAGAGTGTTTGCATTGCCTGGGCACACATTGGATGCGCCGAAATTTACATTGATGGAATGGCTGCACATGCTTGCACTGCATGTGATGATCCAACCACGTGTGGAATGAATGGAGATATAAAACGGCACCATCAGTCTGGCGCCCTGCATGCTGAACAGAGAAAAAACACAGCTGCTCTTACTCTCATTGAAGCTTCCAAGCATGGTGAAGGTTTTCCCGCTTCCAGTGGCCCCACTGCAGAACAAGGTGTTTAGTCACCCAGAGGATGCGTTGCCCAAAGCGCATGCCATCAATTTGCTGTTGACAGTATGAGCAAAAGTAGGCCAACAAATTGTCCACTTGATTGTTATGCACTTGCTAAACTGATGAGCTGTTGCATAGATATATGGCTGAGGTGGGTCGACGAGTGACTTACTAAGCCAGTACTGATCCATTGTAGCCTTCAAGGACAGAATCCACACAGCCTGTGGCAAATGCTCAGTTTGTGGTCTTGGAACTGGTGCTTGGATCTAAGCCAGCAAGAGGAACATCGTAGCTTTATGGCACAGCAGCGAGCAGAATATGCGCTGAGCTCTCGATGCGTCTGATACTGCTGGTGTGCTTACCTTGAGCTGCTGCGAAGACTTGGTCCTGTGTTGCATGTTGTCCGAGCACTTCATCAAAATCTGACTCGAGCACAGTGTTGTCCTTGCAAGCCCTGATCCTTTGGTCCTGAACAAACACAGACCATTGCGCCCCTTTCCGCGCATACATCTGAGACTTCAAGCTGAGCCGGAGTTGTCACCTCGTAGACAGATACTGCTTCAGAGGTGCTTTGCGCGAATTCCCGCGGCAAGAGAGGACGAACTCTTACGAAGGCGTGTATGTGAGATACCATGGATTGCTCGCTGGAACACTGCCGTCCTGCGCAGAGGTCCAATAGTTTGTGCAGCGCCAGCCGTGACGCCTGACGCCCTCCTCAGTGTTCTGGCAGAAAGCTCGCCCGGTTTCGCCGGACGAATCTAAATGACGTCTGGGATCACTTCAAATCTGGAGGGTTTACTAAACCTGAAAACTAATCCCTTAAAAACAACCACTCAGCCATGGATGAGTCTGCTGCATCAGCTGCAGTTATCAAATGTTGACACAAGGACCTTTGATCAAGTCATGACTTGTCCGCAGTCTTCCCAGCAAACTGCATAGCGTTTTGTAATCACAGCAGATGACTCTGATTACACCTCGGGCAAGACTACACTGCTGAAAATGTGCATCCACAGTTGAAAATTGGGTTGTGTCCTGTCAAGATGTGCATCAGCACGTGCCAATTGGACATCATGTATAATAACGCTCCAAGAACGAACACAACATGCATTATTCGAATTGCTTTGTCGCAAAGTGTATGTTAATAAGCAGCTTGGTATAGGGCAGCAGAAACACACCCAACCACAATACATGCAGGCTAAGCACAGTTGCAAAGGATATGCATGACCTTTGAAGGACATGCATGCGCAGCAAAGCGGCCCGTTCCGTTTAACACACTAAAAAAAGGCACAAGCTACATACCCCTAAACCTGAAAAGTAATCCCTAAAAAACCAACCACTCAGCCATGGATGAGTCTGTAGTAGCATCAGCTGCAGCTTCTCCTTGGGTGTCAGTTTCTCTTGCAGCTGCTTCTGCTGCAGGCGATCATCCAGGATCTCAACCTGCTCAGCAACTGCTGATGGATCTGCCTTCATGAGAGTCGTGAAAGCGTCCTTCAAAGCTGATTGTGCAGCATTGCTGTTGCTGCAGCTTTTCAAAACAGCATCTGCGTGCTGCTTGCCAACAACAGCTGTCAGTTCAGGAATGGACTGCAAGGCCCCTGACAGCTCCTGGGTACTGACAAAGCCACAGAGAGCTTCAAAATCTGTGATGGCTAGAGCCATTTCTGGCTTGTGATTGTTGTCCTTATAAATCTGCAGCAGTACCATCATTGCTTCAAAACATCCAAGGAAAAACATCGTCATTGGCAATAAAAGAAAGTCAACAATACGAATGCACTTACCCATGTGCAACTGCAACATACAGGAAGACAAGCACAGTTTACAGACCAGAAACAGCAGATGTACCTCTGGTTGCTGTGCATGAAGCTTCTCAGCAAGCTCTTTGTCAGGATGAGACTGTATAGACAGCGCTGTCTCCACAGACAGTACCTGTAGCATTTAAACTCAGTGTGTAGCTGAATGAGAACAAAAGTTAGTTAGTAACCAGGACAAACCAGTCATAGCAATGACTTATCGCAATATACAAGCATACCTTAAACAAGAAAGGTAGCTTGAGCCCAAATCTTTTCAGGACAGTGGCACCAAGTGCTTGAGAGTGTTTTTCTAACCAGTCTTGCAGGCTGGTAGCAGGGTGTGCGGCCAGCATAGCTGGACCGCTGGGATGTGTTCCCATCCTGCATGTTCTGTAACTGTCAGCAAAATGCAGAAAGTTTTCACGAGAGATTCAGGTTGATCACATACCACAACTCTGCATATGGCTTTTCGTGGTCGACGTGTGCACCTCCTGCTGCCGTCAACGCCGCAACCTGCATCAAACACTGTTGTTACCCAGACTGGGCTTGTTTGTGTGCGTGGTGCAAACGCGATGCTGCTTCTCACCTCGCTGTTTGAGCGTGCAAGCCGACCCCAGGCATAGTTTTGGGTCGGGCACTTCAGTCTTAGCATTGTGCAGTGATCTGGCGCATCCAATCAACTACGCTCACGGTGCCTAATCATCGCTATGTTCGATGCTGGTGAGGGGGACGCTTCCAACGTTGTCCTTCAAAGCACGTCCTTCGAACAGCTGGCAGTCTGAGTAATCACCCGTTTTAGTATTTGTCGAAATCTGAAATGCAAAACTTCGAGCAGCTGTGGTGTTGACGAAGTGGTTTGGTAGGACATATTGTGACAGCGTACACTGCGTAGTGCGGTTTGCAGTGGTGCGTGCGAATCAACGAGACAATATGCATCATTCGGTCCCTGCACTCACTGCTATTGAAGTTTGATAGTGCTTGAAGTCCTCGTTGCAGTGTCATGGCTACAAGTTGCACCTGGTCGGTGGTCCTGAACGGCAGTGTTCAGGATGAGCACAGCGTCTGCTGCTTGAAGCACCGGCATTGAGATGCAGAGTTGATTAAGGCTTTCTGGTCCGAACGTATACCTGAAAGGCCATGTACATACCTGAGCTTGATGCTCTTATCTTCCTGGCTACAGAGTTTTTAGAGGGAGGTGCCGATCGGCCGATTCTCGCAACAGGCATAAGAGCATTGCATGAAGCAGCAGGTCAGTGTCACATCCAGCTTCCCTGACGCTGTACAGCTTTAGTTAGCAACAATGGTGTGCAAGCAACAGTGGGGTTTGTACAGGAATACCTTTCGCTCCTGGTCATTCAGCAAAACGCAGCAGGCTTCCTGAAAGACTTGCCAGGAGAGAGTGCGTTGACCTCCTGCAGCAGCTGGGAGTACCACTGCAGGTCTGTGTGTCAAGTGATATATTGACTGTCCTGATAACATGTTGACAATCTTAACCTCACAGCCTTTGTTCCATATACTTGACTCACCTTCATGCTGGCAAGCTTATCTTCAGCAGCTGACACCTGAGTATATTGTGTGCTGTTGAGACTCCGTTGGCAGATCAACACCAGCTAACTCTCAGCATTCCGATGTAGGATGATTTGCTACCTGTGATCTGGGAAGCATTGGGCGGTGGTGATGACATTGCTTTTGTGACAGTTGGTCTTTTGCTGGCCTTTGTCTGTCAGGCGGAGTTTGATGCCACAGCAGCCTTTGTGTTCTGGATGCTGGACAAGTGAGCATCCTTCTGTTTGTCTGCCAAGATTATGCCACGCATGTGTCGGATTGTCATGCGTATGCATTAAGCAGGAATTGCTGGTCGTACCTGCACACAAGCGCCCATGCCCGCAATCTGGAAGTGTTTCAGGGGCAACACAGCCTGGCGTGTACAGCTGTCATTGTGATGGTGCAGTGTTTGCAGTCATATGCCAATGCATGATGAACAGGCTGTTGCAAGAAGCAGTGATACCTGGAGCCACGACATGGTTGCCACTCAACAGCTTCATTACTTCCACAGGCCATCAGCCTGCAGGCATGGACCATAAGGGATGGCCTGCTGACAAGATGAGCACAGCCCAGGCTGATGTAATGTTCATGGGCTGTCTGGCTTGCTTGTCTTACAGGTTCTGCTCATGGTTCCTGTCACTTTCAGTCAAGTCAATCTCACTTGTGTGCTAGGGATGGGGACCACAGGCTGACCAAAGGAGATGTGCTAGGGGCAATAGGGCCATTGATGCATACAGCCCAAGCTGGCATTGTGTTCCAGGGCAGTGCTGACCCAGATGTCAGGAATGCTGCATCGGTATGGGAAGGTTTCAGGGACAGCATGAGGGAGCTGGCAACAGATCAAGTTGCTGCTGCGATTGCTACTGGTGCCTTTGATGAAGTTGACGCCAGCCATAGTGGCAAGATCCAAGGTCTGTGCCATTCTAACATAAACAACGTGTCATACTGTTATGCCCAAGCTGTGGGGCCTGATAGTAAGCTGCAGCTGTTGCTATTGATAGCAGCCAGAGTGGCAATGCCGGAGGTGTCGAGCACTGCTTCATGCATGCGGGCCACATGTGTGGTTGGACAACTCAGTGTTTTGACTGAGAGCTGCCAGTGGCTGCCAGTATTGATGCTTGTGCCTGCTAGATCGACAGTGAGTGCATGATTGATTGATGCAACAGTGTGCTGCAGAGGCGCAGTTTCGGGTCATGATTGAGTGCGTAGCAACAGATGTGGCGACAATGATGGTGAATGTCACAGAGATGCAAGGCCAGGTGGAGAGGGCATCAGGTACCCGACTGGACAGCAGTAACAGCCCTGCAACAGGTGTAAAGACAGCACTGCACAAGCTGGTAACAAAGTATGCTGGTGGAGAGGTTGCTGAGAGGCTCTTGGGTGTCCCGACCAAGTCACGTAGGTGTGTGTGTGTGTGTGTGTGTGTGTGTGTGTGTGTGTGTGTGTGTGTGTGTGTGTGTGTGTGTCACCACGTCAAACGTTATCAACGAAGCTGTCGCAAACAGCTTTCTAGTGTGGGCTGGGTGCTCACTGAATGCTATTTCATGCAGGATGCTTGCTGATCTAGTTCACATACCTCGTATATGCAACACTACAGGCTGTAGGGAAAATGGCAGGACTGGTGCTTATCAGTGGTGTATGCCTTTGATGATAACGTCAAAAACATGTACTCAGGCTTTCTGTCATAAATGCACTGGTGGGCCAGTGGTTATAGCATGACTACAAATGCTTCATTTGTGAGTAGAAGATTGATGTGTGCATTCACCTGCAGGAAGTCTGGGATGTCTTCCAGCCGTCCACCTACATCTGGGAGCGGCACCAATCCCCAGCAAGCTTCCAGATTCAGTCCTCTCAGGCCCAGGGCTGGCATGCAACAGCCCTCCAGTAGGGCATCGTCAATGAGCAGCAGGCAGAGCTCAGGACAGTTGCAACAAACAGGCCGTGCCATTAGCACTCAAGGCTCACAGCCTCAATGGCAGAGCAGCTCGGGGCTTAGCCCTCAGCGCTCACACCCTCAGACACTGAGTACCTCAGGATTGAGTGCACAGAGCTCTCAACTTGGAGGCAACTCAGTGCTCAGTCCCCACAGCTCACCTCAGTGGCAAAGCAACTCAATTTACAGTCCTCACAGCTCACTGACGCAGCAGCAAAGCAACTCAGCATTCCGGCCTCAGAGTTTGGCAAGTCAGCAGCAGAATGATGCAGCTGAGCAGCAAGTCTCAATTCCAGGTGTCACACTCACATCTTCACCTAGATTCCCTGTTCAGGGCACCACTGAAGATGGAACAGTGTCTGGCTCACATGCTGACCTGGCCCCAGAGGGCACTTTGCAGCAGCCCTTGCAACATTCTCAGGAACCGTCCCAAATCACATTCTCATCTCAGCCTCGGCTGCAGGTGCAGCTGCCCTCACACTCAGGTAGCAATCAGACCCTAGGGTCTGTCCAGGGTGCAGTGCCAAACCCTGAGGACAATATGAAACAGCCCGAGGGCTCTTTTGCACCCTCGTTGGGGCAGCAGGCTTCAACAGCTTCTCAGCAGGCGTCCACCAGCATGCCGCAGAACGCGGCAGGAATCTCAGGGCACCAGGGCCGTCTGCAGCAGCCCCGAACCTCAAGCGGCATGCAGAGACAGGGCTGGTTCCAAGATGAGCTGTGTGATGATGCCCAGGACCCTAACCTGCACAATCCTAGGTTTGCTCCGTCAGTCAGCACCACAGAAACATATGCACAGCCTGGAGCAAGCTTTCACTACTGCCTAGCTTGCAAAGTAATGTCCGCCTGGAGTCTACTGGCATTGGCACCTATCTGTGCAGAAATACAGATGGCCCACACGCAATCATATACGGCATGACCACAGCTTCATTATACTGTTACAAGCGTCATGACAGGGGCCTCCTGGCACGTCTTGTTAGCCCTGTATTGTCACCACAAAAAGGTGTGTCCTGGAAGAGGCAATGTGGTATAGTCTTTATAATCCTCACATCCTTTTCTGTCTGCTCAGGGATCCTGACTTTGAGCGCAGAAATTCGGGGGCTCTGGCTTCCCCTTCTTCGCCCTCCTCGCCATTTGACTTGGCTCGCATGGGCGGGCAGGTCGACGCTGAGCTGCAGGCTCAAGAAGAGGAGCGGGAACAGCTGAGGCATGAGCGCATGCGCAGGGCCGATCGAGCTGCAGCTGCTGCCCGTGCTGCTGTCAAGGTCAGAATCTGTTGCAAGCAGATGGAACTGTTCATTCATACATGGTACTGTCACAGTAAGGCATTGCTGAAACCCTGAAAGCTTGGGAAGCTGGTGACAGTGTAAGCAAGACAAACCCACAGCACGCAACCATGAGCTCAACACACAATGATGGGTTTGTGCTATCATGATGCATGGCATGGTATCGGCATGTTATCCATCTTGATTGAGCGGTATCAAAGTTGCATCCAGCCGGGCAGTGCTCAAGTTGGTGACAGGACAAACCGTGGTCATTTTTAATAAGTAAACAATAAATTTATTCATAAATAAATAAATGAATCTATTCACTCTGCGTCTGACCCTGCAGTGCTGTTTGGAGTGACCTGCAGCAGCACCACCTGTTGCCACAAACACATACTCGTACCGCCGGTAACATGTGAATGTGTGCATGGATAGTTGTACAGAACAAGAGCTGGCTGAGTTCAGCAACCGCTGACTAGGCTGTTGAGGTTACGATATCTTGAAAGAAGTATGCCTTCGCATGTGACCTACCTGGTCAAGGTAGGTCAGTCTTCCCTGGGGCTATCCCTGGTCACCCAGCCCATCTGCAAGCTCTCCAACCCATCTTGGACCCACACCTGACTCGCATACTTGACCCACACCTGAGTCACACTTGACCCACACCTGACCCACACCTGACCCCAGACCTGGCCACAGACCTGACCCACAGCTGCGTGCAGGCGGATTTCAAGGCACAAGAGGATGCCGACAGCGCAAGCAAGATTGACCCCAAGCATGCTCTGATCACCCTGGTGGCGGGTCTCACAGTGCGCTACTACCTCTTGGACATCATCAAGGTCATGGTCATCCTGGCCATCCTGCTCGCCGATGCCTCCTTTGTCACTGCTCTCTTTGCTAGGTCAGCATACCACTCAGCCCGCGCAATTTGTGACTCATGGTCTGGCTTGCTGGCAGCTGCATTCAGCTGGCCTGGCTTTTGTGGACTTGCTGTTGTGCATGTGTTGTGTACAGCGCTCCAGGGTTATGCTGCTGCAACTTGAGCCACATCACTAAAGCTGCTGCTAGTGACAGATGGCCAGTGTTGAGGTTGAAGTTGTCGTATGTATTCTGTCAACTGTCTGTTCTGCTGCCAGTTTGTCAGGTCGGCTCTCAGGTACACAGCTGTAAGTGCCAGATTGCAGGCTTGAGTGTTGGTTTGTGCTGTGTCTCGCAGTGTATGAGTCTCAGGAAACTGAGTCTGAGTCAGAAGTAGGTGCTCAAGTCTCGAGGCTGAGTCTGACCTCTGTTGTATGGGGCCTCGCACATTCACATAAGTCCTCAAGCACAGCATGTAGCAGAGTGTGTGTTTGTCTTTGCATGTACGGTCACAAGCTGCATCTCAGTCTGGAGCTGTCACCTATTCTCGGACGGTCCAAGGCGGCTTGGGGTTATGGTGAAATCAGCATCCACAAACTAACAATCACTACAGAGTACATGAGCAAGTGCTGACATGCTGACAGGCGGCATCTCAGTTTGGAGCTGTCGTTGGCAATTGTCTTCTTCACCAACATTGTGCTGTCCCTGGCAGCTCTGGTGTACATTGTGACGGGGATCAACACAGACATTTTCACATGGGCCAAAGAGTACATGGTCAGTCTGAAGGATGATGACAGTGCTGTCAACACCAAGGTGTGCCTAGTCTTCTTCTTCACCTTCCTGCTCTCCTCCTCATGCTTTTTTCTCGTTGTATTCTTCGCCTTTGAGATCTTCTTCTTTGGCAGGCTGACCTATGCCTAGCTGATTGTCAAGTTAACCCTCATGTGGGTGATGTCATTGTCAGGACTGCGTTTGTAACACTGTTACTGTCTTGTAATGTATGCTCTGGTCGGACGCATGCAAAGTGGTCCAAGCAGCGATGCAAGGTGCAGTGTATCAATATCTAGACAACCATCTTTCCGATTCACATTCCAACAACCCTTATGGCGCAGAGCCTGGTTTGGTAGCGGCCATTGCATTCTGCAAAGGGCTAGCAAGCTACAGCTGCAGCAGCAATCTGCGCTTGACAGCGTAAACCTTGGTCATTCGGGTTCCTTTCAGGAGGGACAGCATGTTGTCCAAGTCAGCAGATGTGGTGCTTGCTGCTGTCAGCATCCACTTTCAACCACAGCTCAAGGCTCATAAGGTCTTTGTCCAGAAACAAGCCCTGAATCCATGCTGTTTTTTGTGTCGAACTGCTGCTGCAGGTGGCTGCTGTTCAACTGTTCAAGCTTGTAATGGAGGCAGTCAGGCCAAGCATCTGCAAACAGAACTCTCAAGATCACACTGCACGCCAAGAAACCTTGTATTGCGGCTTGTTTGGTGCTGTCAGCTATCATGCTTGTGTTTAAGTGTGCAGACAGACAGGACCATGAGCAGTGCAGCATTCCATATGGGGATGCCGTGGCTCAAGCAGTGATTGAGTGAGCAGCACGTTCTATAGGCTGGCAGCCGTGGAAGCGGTTAGCGCCCAACCTGCGCAGTGTGACTGTACGATTCTCATGATGCAATAGCTCAAGTGGTGACTGTTTGGTGTGTTTGCAGAAAGACAGCACTTGGTCCAAGCTAGCTGCCTTGCAAGGGCCCAAGCAGCTGCAGAGTAATTTTGCCATGAACGCCTTGCAACCTGCAACATCTCATACGTGACGCAATAGCTCATGCGGTGACTTCTGTGGTGTGTTTACAGAAAGACAGCACCTTGTCTAAGCTAGCAGCCATGGAGGGGGCCGTGCCCAAGCAGCTGCAGCCCGCCTTCAAGAAAGTCATGCTGAAGCTGCAACAGGTGGCTCCCATATCCAACACCTCTCGTCTCACACTTTCTCCTCCATGCTGCACTGTTGACATTTGAAGGTCACAACACAGTATCACCAACAGAGCTGACAGGAGACAAGGACGAACAAGATCCTATCCTGCAATAGGGGTTGGTGTTGAATAACACTGCTCCCTTCCGTGGGAGTCAGGATGCGCATAGTCCTGAGTATGTCAGGGAAAGCCTATGGACTGGTTATGTAGAAGCGCAGGACTGGCAGGCCTTTCTGACTGGTTGTCTCAAAGGGAAATGCTAGCTTGCGAGTGTGAAAGGCGTGCATGCACACTCAGTATCGTCCTGCACTTTGCCTTTGAAGTGTTTAAGGGGAAGCTGCAGCAGGTGACTGTTACATTCTGGCTGCCTGCTAGTATGGAACTCTTGTTTACTGTTGCCTTTCTCATGGCCTTGCGATCAACCCCTTTCTGCATGGATAGTCAAGACAATGATATGCACCTGACATAATACATGTACTTGTCGTAGCATCCCACCATCAAATCCATGTTGTTCTCTCACGCCTGCTACCCTTCTGCCCAATTGGCTTTTAAACTGTTTTTTCTTTTGGCTCCTGCCCTTTGCACCTGCTGATTATTGCCCATTCCACAGTGCTGCACCAGACGGCAGTTATGCACAGGATCAACAACGTGACTATGCATAGGTTGGCAAGAAAAGCAAGGGCAAGGATGATGACAGCCTTGAGGATGGCATGGAGCGCAGGTCACACAGGTCAGCCTTACCACCCCCTCATGCTCCGTGGGAACCTGTACATGCTGAAACTCACAAGCTCACAGTAGATTTTGAAGTCAGTGGGAGTGCGTACTAGATTCAACAAGTTTGCCTAGTTGTTGAGAGTGCATAGTGAAGGTACCAGGAGTGCATATTTCAGCTGTTGAGAGCCACAACAAAAAGTCCCTCCTACTAGGAGTGCACACCAAAAACAAGTGAGACTGTATACTGAAGCTAATGCCGACCGGAGTGTCCTGAAGCAAAGAAAACTGCATACTGAAGCTACTGAGCAGGCACTGTGCAGCAGCAGATTCACATATTTACCCAAGAAAATGTTGCATCTCCAGATGCCTGTCTGCTCAGCGGTTTGCTTTGAGTCTACTTTGTGCACTGTTCAGACCTGTGGCTGACAGCCGATAATGCACAACCCACCTTGGCCAACTGCCTGCACAAGAAGTCCTAGCTGCTGTTGCACCCAAGCTGAAAGTCACTGCTTTAGCTCTTATAGCAGCAGTGCAGCATGGCTCTTTCTCATTCCGCAGCTATGTAACCTCCACTAGCTTGATGTCATTGCACATCCTACTTATCGGTGATTTCAAGCCAGCTTGTCCGTCACAATGTCACAATGTACTGAAGCTACTGAGCCAGCAGTATGCAGCAGGTGTGTGTTCGTCTGTGCGTGCGTCGCTCTGTTGACAAGCAGTGCAGTGCAGCAGCAATTGTGGGGCAATTTCTGCAGTCAGTACGGGGAGTATGATGACGATGATGGCTCAGAACAGCCCTCCACTCCTAGAGGGCGCGTGGGTGGAGGCAAAAGTAGGGTGCAGTTTGCAAGGCGGTCTAGCAGGGGTGTCAGGCAGGCAGGGGAGTCAAGGAGGAAGGCCCAGGCATCCAAAGACAAAGACAAGGGGGAGCCTCAAGACTACATGAGCAGAGCCAAGCAGCTGTGGAATGTTGTTGGGAAGGTCAGGCTCAAACACTTGTAAGGTTTATATCCTGAGATGCACACCATCAACTTCAGGGAGAAAAATGCAAGATGACTCCAGTGCGATACATGTGTCTGTCCAAGCAAGAAGTGCAGTGGGAGTCTGCCTGATGTGGTCCGCTGGGCCTCTTCAGAACTAACCCCGTGTCAGCCTTGCTGCAGTTCACAGGACTGGAGACAATGGGCGGTAGTGACCAAAGCAGCCAAGATTTGACGCCTGCATCAGGCCACAGCAGGTCCTTTGGAGGGCAGTGGGGCATGAACAGCACCAGATCGTTCAAGCCTGGCCTTGCCAGATCTAGGTCAGCCTCACCTTGACCTTCATACAACCATAAACGGGTATCTGCTGTCCAAGGAAATAGAAGCTGTCTCTGCTTTGGAGGCACATTGGAGAGGCATTTTAGCAACACCACATGACTGGGGCATGTATATTCAAGGCAACAAGTCAATCATTATATCATCTCTGTCGTGTGTTTGGCAGGCTTGTGTGATCTGACCTGTGCACATGTATAGGGCTGATGGCCTTTAGCCATTAGACCAGCCATCATACCATGATGTCAAACTCAGTCTGCAATATGCTGAGACAGCATGGGGAAGCAGGTTTACTGCTGTACAGTACGCATTGCACGGTGACAAGCCCACATGTTCAGCTGGGCAAATAGCCTGAATCGTGATGCACAGTCATGGTCCATATGTGGTTTAACTATGTGATGCAATTGGGTGTGGGGTGCAGGCTGGGCCGAGGGGCCGGCCCTTCAGGAGTGGCTGATGACTACAAGTCAGCTGCTCTGCTGTCAAGGGCAGAAGAAGGTGACAGCAATGCCCTGCACCCACAGCGCATCCCCAGTCATGCCAGTCCTGTTGTCAGGGATGCAGACAGCAGAAATTGGGCACGCACAGACAGACCTGGCAGTGCAGTGGCTGCCAAAAGAGCTGGAGAGTATGAAGGGCTTGTATGATACAATTTGTGGCTTGCAAGGTTATAACTCATGATATCTGATGTATTCACTCCAAAATGTGCTTCTTTTCGTCAAGTAACATTGAGTCCACATCAGTTGAAAAGCAAGTGTGACTGTTGTCTTTCCAATTGGACTGGAAGCAGTGGGTGGCCAGATAAAGCAAACAATGCATGCACAAACTAGCCATGTCACTATCATCTAGCATTTGCTGTATGGATGCACACTTGTTACATGGAATCATTCAGGTGGCGATGTTTCACATGCAGCAGTGTCGTCAAACTTTGTGGTGGGGTCTTCTGCTGTGCCTCAGGCAATGTGACAGCAAGGAACGTTTGAATTGTACTGCCTGTAAACTCGACAAGGCAATTATTGCATTGTCCATGCAGCTCTTCGATTGTTTCTTCTCTGCTTGCAAAGGTAGCACTCAGTCTGATCAATGTATCATGCATGATGCATGCAGACTGAGATCATCATGACCGTTGGTATCATGCATGCAGCGTTCAGAAGGCTTGGTTACATCAGCTGCTGACTTTAGATGTTTTGGGATGCAACCCATGCATGACTTCTCAGTCATGGAACGCATCCATGTATGGTGTTTTAATGCATTTGTCTTGGGCAAATAGCCATGCACCTCTATGTCTTACAGGCACTACACATCAATGCACAGGCAGGGACGAGGAAAGAGGTATACTATTCTCCAGGGCATGTACTTCGATACTTGACCTGGTCCAGCTAACGAAGTCACGAAACCACACAAAGTCTGTTTGGTCAAAAAGGGTGTCAGAACAAGCAGTGCTTGTAACTTGAATCATGTGTGAAATTACGTATGGTTATAAGCGGTGCTCAGAGCAAAAAATGGGTAAACAAAAGAGCAAGTACCAAGTTTGTGTGCTTTTCGAGATGTCAGCACAATGTCATTAAGTGGTGTTAGCCCTGGTGTGCTACAACAGGCCTAGTGTGCTAGTAGTACAACAAACAAACAAAATGGCAGATGAAGTGCTGCTCCTCATGATGCAGCTGCGGCAAACAAACGCTGCTTGAACAGCAAAATCAATGAACTTCAATTCGTTGGTGACCAGCATCAGAATCGCTGCTGATTGAAGCAGACCAACATTACTCTGAGGGAAGACGCCATACGTGTCCTATGGTGCAGTCTGCTCACGTAGCTTGTAAGCTATTGTCACTCTTAGGGCTTCACAATCTCTTGATGGAGCCAAGCCTCTATGCACAAGATTTGCTTTGAACATTACACCAGTGTTTTTAATGGGCTCAACAGCAGAGAGCAGCTTAGTTCCTGGTATCCGAAAGACTGTAAGACCACCATCTGTGACCTCAGAAGCATATATGAGGAACGTCCAGTGTGAGTCATCTGCACCATCAGTGTGGAAGTCGCCGTCATGTCCAAACGTTTGCCCATTTGCATACACGTTTCGCAGTTGTAAGTCCTTCCCAGTCAGTTGCTTGAGCCTTTCAAAGACAGTTTCGTTAAACAAAGGATCCTCCTGAAGGTCCATGAACCAAAACCTTCGCTCGGTCGGCTTTGATCCGCTCCAGTTTGTCATCTTCCATGCACCATGGTCAAACAACTGCTGACAGTAGAGCAGCTCACCCAAGTTTAGTATATTGCTATACACCTCAGGCAACTCAGTTAGTGAAGGGGCCTGTACCATCTCACAGACTCGGCAACGAGGTCTCTGCTCACAATCAATATGTTGCAACACACGTCAGAGCCGACCGCAAGGCGTTGGCGGCATCGAGCGTGCTCAACTGTCATTGAGCCGGTCAAAAGTCAAGTTACGGTACTCTGTGACCTGGAACGGTAATACAACCTCATTCAAACTTCCCTTTTTGCTTCTTCGGTCTTGTCCTACCTGAGCCAAACTTTCGCTGGTGCCATGCTGCAGACGGTCCATGTACTGTATAAGGGCCCGAAGCTACTGTCTGGCTTCTTGCACCATCCTATGCTTGCATGAAATCTAAGCTCACCTTTATCACCCTTGCTTGGCACAGCCAAGTCTGCCAGATCTTTCCATAGGCTACCCCTGAGAGCCGTCTTTACCATCCGTTGTCTCTAGTAGGCATGGCAATGCCCTGTCATGCTTGCAGTCGATTTGCCTCGAAGCTCTATGGAGCTATTAGGCAGCAGCTTGCAACAGGCCACATTGGATCACAAACAAATATGGCAGCCTGCTACAATCAACTATTCAGCACCAACACTACGGTTACTGCTAAGGTGGAGGACTCTATGGACTTCCCAGGCGGCAAAGTCCCCTTCACTCAACAAGTATTGTCCAGGCATACGCTGTTCAAAGCAACAACTGATGTCAGTGCCCTCAGGTGCTGGTTGTGAGTGCAGCTCAAAATGATCGGTGGCCCTGAGTCAAGCACCCCTCCAATGAGTTGTTACAGAACAGTAGACAGCACTGGGGCAGACGTAGCTGGTGCAGAAGTTCCCCATCAAATAGGACGGGATTTGGCCACCAAAATGTATAGCACCATGGCAGCCTTGCAGATAGTTGACACTGTCTTTTACGAGGCTCAGAGACAGGTGGGCACAATACTCAACAATAACAACCCTTGATGCAGCCTCACAAACCATGTGCTGTATCTGCTGTGGATTACAGGTTGAGTTCAGTCTGTCATTGCTGACTGTGATCAATGCCCTCTCGCTAGCATGACTTTCACACAATGCGGCAGCACTGTCATTTGAAACATTTAAACCATACGCAACTGCCTCAAGCCGGCCAGAAGTGAGACTTGTGCTCTGTCAACCCAAACACTAATTTGTTATCCCATGCAAAATTCTGCTACAAGCTGATGCAGCGTCTCCTCATCAAATCTGTCGCCTGCAGGGAAGGTTCTCTTTTTTCATGACAAGTGCTGGCGAAGAGGCAACAGCTGTAGGATCAGCAGCTGCTTTGACGCTAGACGACACAGTGAGCCTCCAAAACTTGCCTAGTAGGATTACTTTGAGCTAAGGCGCGCTGTAGGCACTAGTACAAGGGCCCTGACAGGCTGATTACTGTAATACATCAATGCCTGAAACAGCAACGCATACTCAGAGGCAAACTGCTCAAAGATGATCTGAGCATCTCTTGCAGGTCTTCACCCAATACCGCGAGCATGGGGTCATGATGTGGCGTGGCTATACCATACAGCAAATGGCACACCAGGTAAACTTATCGAGCTTGTAGTGGTTGCTGTTCTGTCCGGTGAACCATGTCTGTAGATGACAAATTCTACCTTGTTTGTCCTACTACACTGTTTCATGCCTCTGCTGCGGCACTTGTGCATGCTGTAGAAGTACTTTGTGTGATGCGCTTGCTTGCATCTTGGTCGTTGTGCAGCAATTGCGCACAAACTGAACAGTCAACTTCATGCATCTCCTGCATCTCCGTCAGCAGCTTCAGCACAGCAAGCTTCATGTCGAGCACAGCCTGCACAGTACAACTGCACTCGTACAGGACAGGTCGACTCAGCAAACTGCCTTCTGCAGTGCTATGGAAACCAGTTGGGTCATGGCAAAGGCCGCCAGATGCCAATCCACTACGGCAGCAAGGAGCTCAACTTCCAAACCATATCCTCCCCACTGGCTACACAGTTACCCCATGCTGTTGGGGCAGCCTATGCACTCAAGGTCAGCAAGCCCACACCCCCTGCCTTTTCAATCTGCTGCCCCTCTCTCAGCATGAAGAGGTGTATGTGGTTGCTGTAGCTGCCATGTGGAACGGCAAGTGCTTGGCCAGCTTCGAAGCTGCAGTTCAGTGCACTGCATGACATAGTCAACTGCTTGGCACTGCTCAACTGTTAGCAGCCTGTTGTTGTGAGCCAATACGTTGTTTGGCTGACACAGAGCCAGAGCGGTGAGCTTGCATCCTCTTTGTGAACATGGAGCCTGCTGCAGACTGCTTTATTTGCACAGACAAGCACCCAGACTCCCTGTCATTATTGCTGCATTGCTGCACATTACTGCTTATTGCTGAAAAAGGGTATTCTGCCTAGTGTTGGTGAGCCTATGCCCCAAACGCCTCATCATTGCAAGGCAACCCCACCATAGTTCATGCTGGGCACACCATGTTGTGTCAAACATACTTCCACACAGACTCTTTCACTAACAACCAGACAGCAGAAAAGTGGACTGCTAAATCTGAACGGTTAAATGCTCATGAGCCCTGTAATTGTTGATGCAGTTGGAGCGCAAGCATGCTTGTGCTGCGGTGTACTTTGGGGAGGGTGCAGCATCAGAAGGGGACTTTCATGCTGCTGTCAACTTTGCCAGTACTCTTGGTGCACCTGTGGTCTTCATCTGTCGCAACAATGGCTGGGCCATCAGCACTCCTAGCACTGAGCAGTACAGAGGTGTACTGTTGTCTCCTGTTTGCAATTGCAGCAGCACCAATGGTTGTTGCGCCACACCAGTCAGCTGTTCCTCATGTACAGAATGACTCTGCCACAGTTTCTGTTTGCCATGTTGTTAGTCTGAGTGGTGTCAAGCCAATGCAGATGCTATCTGTCAGCTGGCCTGCACCTTGAAGTATGTCATGTTGTACCTGATGCTCATGAGAGCAGGCAGCAGCTTGTTCAGCTCAGCATTGCCAGAAGAGGTGATGGTAGGCTCAGAGTGTGATAGGGTGCAGGTGATGGCATTGCCGGAAGGGGGCCCTCGTATGGCATCGCCAGCATCAGGGTTGATGGAGGAGATGCAAGGGCAGTATACAATGCCACAGCTGAGGCACGCAGGATAGCTGTGACCAGCAGCTGCCCTGTGCTCATTGAGGTAGGCCTTGCAGGTCTGCTTTAGCCTGATCTGTCAAGTTCTGCCTGATTGTGAGCAGCCTGTGACAGTGATATGCCGTCTAAACTGATTTGGATCAACCAATGGTCTGCCTTGTACCCGCAGCTTTCAAGCTTTGTCAGCTGTCTTTGCTGTGCTTTGCTTTTGCTGCAGCTCACTGGCCTGCATGGCACTGTTGCTAATTCCAACAGCACTGTTAATACTCCCTGGCAACAACTGCTGTGCAACTGCATTGGGCAGGCTTCTGGTGCCAAAGTCAATTGTGTAGTGTGTGGGTTGTTGCCTTGAACACTAACATTGCCAGATCAAGCACGTCATGAGGAAGGACATGCAAAGGTGTTAGACCTCTTCATGTCTTATGCAGGCCATGTCATACCGCAGTGGCCATCACTCCACTTCTGATGACTCCTCCAGGTGGATTTCTGTACCCCATGTGTTTTGATTGAGCACATCAGCTTGACCCATGTGCTGTAACTACTCTTGCATTGTTTTTGCATGTCACTGACAGCTCATCATAGTTGCAACATGTTACACAAGCGTATGTAGCGATGTAGGCGCCTGTATGTACCTCTGCCATGGCTATGTCCATTTTGGTACTCGCAGGTGTCCAACTTGATGCCCTGCATGCTGTTGTAATCACTGCAGACTGAGGCTTTGGCTGACCTCTGGCTGCAGATATCGCACAGCAGATGAGATGAACAGATGGCGTGCAAGAGACCCAGTCATGCGCTTCCAGAGCCTGCTACTCGCCAACAACTGGTGGGATGCACAACAGGAGAAAGATCTACGCTTAAACCTTAGGAAAGAGGTTTGCATCTCTGCCAACAAACACTGCAACCAGAAAACTGGAACATGCGGATCAAACTTGGGTTGCTGCTTGGCTCGTCCACAGTTTGCTGTGTGTTTCCTTGCCTACAGCAATGAATAAGTGTATGTGCACAGTGGATGGCCAGCGTCAAAGCGCCAGTGTTATGAGGCATGATGGTGTTATGGCTGATGTCGTGCATGCCTATGCAGGTATTGAAAGCATTGGAAGCTGCACAGAAGGAGCCTAAAGCTCCTTTGGCAGACTTGTTCACAGACGGTAAGAAGATATGACTTGGTAACGGCTGCTGCATTAGCATCACTGCTCACAACCACACAGTCATACCAAGGATTGCTGGCTTCAGCCAGATCTGGCCACAGCGTCTTCTTGTTGTTGTCTCTGGGCTTGCGTTCTGTCTACAGCATCCTGAACAACTTTTGTGCTGACTGTATGATGTGCACACAACCAGCTAGCCAATGTTACTGTAGCTGACTTGCGCTTTGTGTGCAATACAGTTTACAAGGAAATGCCATGGCACTTGAAGGAGCAAATGGCACAGGCCATGGCGCATTCGAAGGCGCATCCTGGAGCCTGCCCGTCAGACATACCGGTCAGATAGTCCGCATGCAGCACAGTAATACATAAATCTAGATGAGTAATTGCTGTACCATCACATCACAATAAGATTGACAGCATTGAATGTACTACATGAGGCCACGCTGTTGATGGCAACAAATGGCCTCAATGATCTGTCTTGCACTGCCTCACTAGCTACACTTAGCATGATGGGTACAGCAAGAACAACAACGTGCAATTTCAGTTAAATCCCTGTCAACTTCAAGTACACATTAATAATTTTAGATATCCTAGCTAACCATCACAGCAGGAGCAAGACATTGTTCTGTATCCTACTCTACTGAAGTACGCTGTATAATAAATTCTGGTTCATTGACTACCCTGCAGTGGCAGCAGCCCTGAGAACACCTTCATGGTCTGTGTAAAGCAATAAATTGCTGCACAATTGGCATGACCTCACCACCTGGAAAGCGACCCAAAAAGCCAGCTGCAGCAGCAGCTTCGCCAAAGGTGGTGACATCATCACCAGTAGGTTGCTTCATGAAGCTTTTATTCAAATTCATTCGCTGTAGTGCTGTCTTGCCCAATGCATGTAATGAAGCCTCGCTGTGGGGTCCTGAGGGGTGTGGAATGTGCAACAAGGGAGTCCCCAATACAGCATCTGAACCACCTGAGTGCTCAACCTACAGAAGACACTGAGCGTGTGAATGTAGCAAAGTGTGCTGTGTCACAGCAATATACACAGTGAAGCACATTTCAAGAAATCGCTAGAGCAACTAGCACATCCTGAAACCTCCTGGAAGGCGTCATGTTCTCTATACTGTCATAGCCAGATTATCGACATATCACACAAATGCTCCATGTTCCTGTAGATTAAGTGCCCCCAAAAAGCAATTGGACACAAACCTCAGAGCATATCATGCACCTGTAGTTCAACAGAAGCGCAGCAAGCACTGTATCAAGTCCTGTAATGTTTGCACTCAGAGGCACCAACGGTGTGCTCACAAATGTATGTGTTGCGAGTACTCACCACATGGCGCACATGCGCTATTGTGAATGGAACAGGCTCATGAGAATGGTCTCCGAACAGCACAGGTGTTGAGTGGTCTCCTGTCACACAAACCGCATACCAGCCCTGACCACATGCCTCCGCTTCGTGCAGCCGCCGGATCAACTGTTGTATCATCACATCCACGCACTCCAGATACTGGAGCTGTAAAACGAGATCAGTCAGGCCTCTGTAACATCAGCAGCTGGACAAGCGTGCTGCAGCTTTGTCTGACTGTGTACAGAATGAGATATAAGGCAGGCAGCCAGGTTTGTCAGGCTAAGTCCAACTAAAGTGCATGTATTGAAAGAAACAAAAAAGACAGATCCTTTGCTGCTGCTTCCTGGCATGCTTAGCATGAGCAAGGCAGATTGTCACCTTAAGCACCGGCTGCTGGTCATGTCCAGTGTCGTCCACTGCCTTGATATGGAGAAAGCCAAAGTCATAGGTTCCAGAGCTCAGGGCGTCTGCCATTGTCTTAGCTTTCACATGAAACTGTGTTCTGTAGTCGCCTGGCACACCAAACAAATATGCAACTACAAATAGCTATGCAGCGGTTGTATGCAAGTTTCAACTGGCCTGTCAGATTGTCTTTCTGTCCATGCGTGCAGCAGATCACACAGCACGTTGTACATGTGCATGAGCTGCCAAGGACCTTGCAAGCAAGTAATTGGTGGCAGAGCCTGGTGTACCTGTTGCCCCAGGAGCTTCCAATCGATCAATGCCTAGTGACATGCCGAGGCCAGCAATGATCTTAGTGGGAGCCACCATGCAGGCTCTCATACCGTGCCGGTCTGCAAAGGTGGGCACAGCAATCCTGAATCAAAAAAGGGTATACTTATGTCCCTTTTCGCGCAGCATGTCCTTGCTACATTGTCCACTGTGTCCTTTATAGTGCAAGCTGAACAGCTGGACAGCAAATCGAAACATTTGCACCTGTGGCATATGCAGCGATACAAGCAGTGTGGATGCTACAAGTTGGCAGCAAGATGCCCACCTAGAGCCACAACCGCGTAGCAACACTACATTGGCGGGTGGGCTTCCCTGTGCTATGCGCTGCTGGTTCACTGCATGGTCCTGCAATATGCCACCAAGCAGCTACAATTGCTTGCACAAGATGACCACAGCACAGTGCAGCAGCGCTTAAAGCAGCCTTGTAAATAGGTAGTGTACACAGAAGAAACACTGGTTCAGCAGTTGAGCACGCAGAACAGGGTCAACAGCTGAGGCCTGAGACTATGCTGACATGGAGCAAAGCAGTGAAGACATTGTACAGGTTGGCACAGCCACAATTGATGCTCAGCAAGCACATATGCACAGACTTGGCAGATAACTGCTGCAAGAACTTGATGACACAAGGAGGTTTCACATTACCTGTAACACCTCTTGCAGAGCTGTGGACAGCTCGTTCACGACTGCAGCTGTGTACTGAGCTTCAGCTGTTGCTTTCAATGGCTTGGACACCTGTGATGCGAATCATGCATCTGAGGCAAATGAGTGGTGTGTTTTGCATGCACAGCAAAATTGCTCCAGCTGACAATGGCCCATCACCTGAGAGTCAGTCCCAACTTGCAGCACATAGCTGCGAGACTACACAGAATAGATGTGCCCCAACTGACCTGAAGAGGCAGGTTATCCTTCAGTGGATCGGTGCCACTGACCTCATCAGACAAGCCCGGGCCACTCACAACTATTCCACAGCGGTGCTCAGTTGCATATTTAGCTTTGACAATGAGGTGAGGGAATGAAGGCAGGCTCACACCTGCCAAGAGGACACCAAGCATGAGTAAGCCATTGATGCTGTCAGCAAGTCAATCCAGGCATGTGTGAACATACCATTCAGTGCTGAACACAGGAGAGGGCCTACATCTTCGAAATGCCTGTCCGCCCTCCTTTTTAAAACAATCTTGGTGGCAGGGTCTAAAGTAGCAAAATTGCATTTGAATGCAATGTCACCAGGGGCCATGTCAATGCCTGCACCCATGCTTTCTAATGCACCTCTGCCTCTATAGTATCTGCATTCAAAAGGTTGTTGATTTCAAACAGGTTGCTGTGTCTGAACGTCCCATACTAGTAATTTTGGCATTCACTTACAGCCTGGGGTCATAACCAAAGATGGACAAATGTGCTGTGTCGCTCCCGCATGCTAGTCCAGGTTCCACAGGATCAAGAAGACCATTCAGGCCAGCAGCTGCACGACACTAAACATTGAGCCTTGTTTTGGGCTGGAAACATCAGCATCGAGCAGGCAAAGTGTATGAGTAGAGCAGACCTGCAATCGCGTCCATTCCAGGTGTGTTTGCTGCTTCCAAGGGAGTCAGGTTCGCCAGTGCAGGTATCTGAATGTCCGCCAGGCCATCAATCAATACAAACGCAATCCGTCCGGTCTTTGCCCGGCTGGTTTCCTCTTGACCCAGTAAATTACCGCCCATGCTTGACTGCACACCCAGGGAAAGTGGTGCAGAGGTTGCCGCTGCAGCTGTTCTTATCGCTGGTACAGCGTGGATACGAAGGGACATAACGATCGGAGGTGCCGCAGAGCACACATATGTTGCATAAGGGCAGCCATGCTTGGCACCAGCATGCCGAGTTTTATGCTACCGTAACTCATGCCTCATGCTTCACTCGCTTGCAGCATGCATTCGCATGTGCTGAGAGAGAGGGAGAGAGATTACAATGCTTTGACCAGCCAACAAGTCTGATGTAAGGATGTTATAGAACGGTTCATCTCCTTCGACCTTGTGCATAGCTCTACAGCTGAAGGCGGCACCACTTTATGCCTGCATCTTGACATCTGGAGAAAAGACGGATGCATATGTCGCATCGGTTTGAGTGACCGTCATTAGAGCTGAAAACTTCAGAGACATGCTGAGATGATCAGCCTTGCACGTCATAATGCAGCTGTTGACCCCTTAATGTCTTCAGACGCGCAGGTGACATTGCTGCGTCTTTTCAAATCCTATACTGGTCTGTCCCCCTGGCCGCAACGCCTGCTTGCAGCAGCGTTGACACATTACATATTTCACTCAGCATAATTTGTGGGCATTGTTGTACTGCTCACTGTGCCGCGGTTTCTACAGGCTCAGCTCCGGGGGTCTGCAAACTACTTGCACAAGCTTGTGGCTGCCTCTCACATCTACAACTTGTGGACTGACAAAGGAGCTGACGCTGGAGCTCTTGCTGAAAGGTATGAAGCAATGTCTATTGTGACACTGTGTTGGTTCAGCCACCATATAAAGCTCTGGCCTGCAGTTTAGCATGTCAGCAAGTCTGCCCAGTTGTATACAGGTATCTTGATGGTTCAGTTGACAAGCTGGATCAGTATATGAACCACTCGGCAACACCACACCACACTGCCGGTTGCAGCATGCTCAGCAACACTGAACCTAGTCAATATCTCACGCAGTCACCAGATTCAGCTGGCTTGCAATCAGTCATACCCGCTTTTTGCACAGATGCTGCAGCAGCATGTGCTGCACTCAAGAAGCAAGTAGTAGCTACAGAGCCTAGAGCGACTGAAACACAGCAGGAACATATTTCGGTCATGTCAGGGTCTGATCAGACCCAGAACAGCTCTCCAAAAGACGCTCGGCGGGGTGTACCTCTCCTACATAAGGATGATCTTAGCTATGAGCAGTTTGTGGGGCAGTTCATGCAGCCCAATCTGCCTGTCATGATCCAGGCAAGTACTTGTGCAGAGACCTCAACTATAGCATCAACTCCTAATGACCAACAAAGAGGATCCTGCAGAAACAGTTGCAGGTTGGTGGTGCAACCCAGTCTCTTGTTGAAACTCCACAAGACTAAAGTTATGCTGCATACAACACAGGACAGATACCTGTCTGACTGTCCTGGTGACTGTCAAGTTCTCATCTGCAGGGCTTGGCTAGCAAGTGGAGATCAAGCATGGATTGGGTCACAGCAGACGGTCATGTCAACATTGACTTTCTTGCAGAGCATTACGGACAGGCACAGGTGATGGTCAGCAACACCACCAGGTACATTGCATACTTGCATCTGTTCCTTTCCACTTTGATGCGCATACCTTGTGTACAGTAATGCACGCTCAGCATGCTGCTTGCAGAGTTTCTGCAGACCTTGAGACTGCTGTCATCAGGACATGTTGTGGACAATGGCAGACGTGCAGCACTTATAATGTCTCTGTATCTTTGCATGCTTACACATCAATTTTAGTGCTTATGTACAGGAGAGACAGACCTTGTGGAAACAACCTCCCGCCACCTGTTTGTCAAGAGACCCATTTACTAATCACAGAACAGCACCTATGTTCACAGTCAAAACCCTCAGCCAAAAGTTCCCCCTTTTGTTGCAGGTCAAATGCTACCTGCGCCCCCAGGCTAGACATGACGGTGGTAGAATTTGCCCACTGGTGGAAGATGCACAAGGCAGGACAGGACGACCGCTTGCTTTACCTCAAAGACTGGCACTTTGCCCATGCGTTTCCCAACTACAAGGCTTATGAGACGCCGCTCTACTTCCAAGATGACTGGTTGAATGACTTCTACGACATGGAGCAAGCTGGCACACAGCAGAGTGACCAGGTCAACATCCAGCAGCAGCCATGCACCACAGCTGCAGACTTATGCTCAACAGCTGTTGCGCCCACCTCTGTGGAGTCAAACTCCACAGCTGCTGGCTTGGAGTGCAGGTCTGTAGGGAGGGATGATGGTGACTGCTCCATGGCAGCAGGGGCCATAAGCGGCATACCTTATCTACGAAGAAGCCATGGAGCACATGACATGTCTACCAACTTTCCACCCCAGGGAGCCGTAATCAAACAAGACACTGACAACAAGCGTGAAGCAGTAGGAAGTCATGATGAAGAAGCAGGGGGTCATGGCAGCAGAGCAGCGTGTGAAACTTTGTCATCAGACTACCGCTTTGTTTACTTGGGATGCAAGGTTTGGCACTCATTGAATGGCTACTCCTGCTTCCAGACTGCATCCTGTCTTGAAAGCAGCTCAAATCAGATGATGCACAGCTGTTGGTTTGAACCATGGACCATTGGCAATGCACATTCTGCATAGCAGTTCTTCTGGAGATTGGATGGTGGTGAACCTGCGTCATGATTCTGACAGGGCACATGGACTCCATTGCACGCGGATGTTTTGCGCTCTTACAGCTGGTCAACAAACGTGGTTGGGCGTAAGAGGTGGAAGCTGCTACCTCCAGACTACACGCACCTGCTGTATGACCGCTTTGGCAGGTGATACCAACTACACCACTACTGCTTGCTGTCTACTGTTTGCTTCCCGCTGTCTACTCTTTGCTTTCTGGTTGTGATTGCTTCCTTTCTGCTGTCTACTGGCAACTTTCTCCAGTCAAGTTTCTACTTTCTGTTTTGTACTTTCTACTGTCTAAGTCAATTGTCAACCACTTACCATCTACCGGTGAATGTCTATGGCCAAATTTGTAGATTGCCGTACACTCCTATAACCTTCATTGACAAAAGCAAGGATTTGGAAAATGCCTGAGTAGCGGTTCTTTCCTGTCAGCTTGGCCAGCCTATTGCAATGACTGATGCCCTCTGTGGCAGCGGTGTTTTCATCGCCTGTGAAACCAAGCTAGAGAGTGGCAGTGCTTGGTTGCTGCAGGGAAATGGCAGCAACTTTTGATATAAAGCAATCAGAAGGTCGAGACAGATTCCCCAACCTTGATGAAGCCTGTCAACATGTCATCGAGTGCATACAGGTCAGTGCAGGAACGAGGTCAAAGCACAAATTGGCTTCATTTTGGTGCCCGTCTGTCACTCTTGTGCCCAGTGTCTCCCGGAATCAAAATGCATTGCAGTCACATGATGTGTCAGCGTCTGATTTCTATGCTGCAGTAACATCATGATGGCAGTCCTTTTCAGGAAAACATATTGCTGGTGCTCAGTGCACGTCCTCACTCGTGCTGATGTGCATCTGATGCCTGAAGGAAGCTGGGGAGACTGTATTTGTACCCAGTGGGTGGCACCACACAGTACACAACTTGGAGGACACTCTCAGTATCAACCACAACTGGCTGAATGGCTACAATCTACACTGGGCCTGGGCTTTGCTGCAGCAAGAGCACAGAGACGCCACTGTCTGTATTGAAGACTGTAGGTATGCTTTTGCTCAGATGAGGTGCGCTGTGCACACATGTCCTGTCTGCTGAGGTGATTGCACTGCAGACTCTGCTGATAGCACTGATCATCATGGAGAAGAGTGGGAAAGACATCTATAGTGTCTATGGTCATAGAGAAGTGTTCAATAGTAAAAACTTATGGAGCTATGATGTCTGGATTGCAAGAACAAAGTGCATCTTTCAGCTACCTGGTAGTGCACAGTACCAGTGACAGTACCTCACAACAACAACAAAAGCAACCACTTGTAGTGCATTTACACACAGGGAGGGATGCAGTGCAGAAGAATTTGAAGCCTTAGTGCAGCGCAATATGGCTGCCAATTGTGGAATGGACTATGCCTTCATGGCTGACTTCATGAATGCTATTCTGTTCAGAGAAGAGCATGCGTTGAGGTACGTGTGCCATGCCTCATCTACTGGCATAAACGCTCCAGGGCATCGCTGTGTATGTAGCAAAAAGGGCCAACCATCACTTCAGTATTGCTTGTCTGCAGTCATGCATGTTACGCCGGACCTCACATGATTGCGCTGTGTCTGCACTTGGCATGGGAGCGTGTGTTTGAGGCAGTTTGGTTGCTGCATGATAAATTGTGATATCATTGCTACAGTCTGCACTTGGGTCTGCCAATTCAACATTGGGTTGGCTCTATTAACTTGCATACATTTTCTTGCATCTGTGTCTATTTGAGCTAGCAGTTTGCATTTGTATCGAAGCTGTTTTACAGACATCACCAGCTTGGCCATATAAACTGTGACACGCTGAATGCATACTGCAGGCATTCCATGAAGCTTACAGAATTTGATGCACACGCAAAGCACAGGTTCAAGATTGCAAAGTCAACACAGCTCCTGGTTGAGTTGCGTCAGCGCATGAGCTCATTGTCTTGTAATGCTCCCCGCAAATGGCCACCCTGCAGCTGAAAGTGCTTTGCAAAGACTGTGAAGACCCGGCCTGTCCTGGCTGCACATGACTTTATATGCATGAAATGGCTAATGCGTTTGATGTGTGCAAGCCCAATCAGGCGCTGTTATGACTTGACTGCTCAGCAGGCAAAGGCTCATGCGCCTTGCAAATTACCAAAAAACCGTTTGCAACAGCACCCTGCCCCTTTTGCTTCTGTTTGAGCAATGCATGTCTGTCACCAACTGCATGCTGATTTGTTATCAAGGATCTTGAAGAGCAACAAGCCCCCAGAAATGCATTTAGTTTGTTGCACGATAAACTTTTGGAACACATTCATGGAAAACACGTCTGCAGGCATGCAGCTGCAGCATGGATATACTGCAGGCATGCAGCTGCATCATGGATATACAGGATTTCCTTTTAGCATAGCAGGGTTCTTGCCTTCTGAGCAATGACGCAGGCATTTCTTTCAACATCTTTGCTTGTGGTGCAAAAGTCCCTGTAAAACTTTTGATTCCGGGTCCTGACAAGTATTGGCAGTGTCAACCGAAACTTGTCGTCAGGGTTACCTGACTATGACGAACTCCTGATTACTCTCGGCGGTGTCGACGAAGTCTGTCGTCCTTGTCACCTTGTAAAAACGAAACTTGTCGTCAGGGTTACCTGACTATGACGAACTCCTGATTACTCTCGGCGGTGTCGACGAAGTCTGTCGTCCTTGTCACCTTGTAAAAACGAAAATCTTTATTACATGTACTCCTTATAAGTAGTCCACTCTAGAGCAAAAGTAAAGATGGGCGGCTGATAAATCCACGCTGATTTGAAAGTGTTGTCATCAGTCTCCATGGCCGATACTGCATCAAATGGAATACACACACATGACCAGGTTGGCTCATATGACCAGTGAAGACGATTGCAAAGCAAAATGCTGCTGTTCAGATTCCACTATGGGGTTCCCTACAACCAGTCCGAGCGCCCCTCCGCAGGGCGTTGCGGTGCGTTGGCACTGAAGCTGTGCACCCGTCTTCTCGAGCAACAAGCTGCGCATTGTGGCGGACAGCCACAGCGTGACTTGGCGGCAATTTTCAGCAGCATATTGCGCCTTCTTCAGATGCTGACGAGGTCGAGAGGCGATCGTTGTGTTTGGAGAAGTCATTTAGGTTAGAAAGGAACAGCGCCAGTGGGCGACCAGCCCATGGCGCATCCGAGAATGCCTTCTAACATGCATGTGCCAGGTGTGTTATAAACCAGTAATGGACAGCTGATGAAGTGACCAACGCTACCGTGATCACACCTGTGCTGTGCGGTACGTACCGGTGGCAGAGTCGAAGCCCGATTATCTGCGGATTGAGTTAGCTCGCATTCCTGCAATTGACAGTTGAAGCGCAGAACCGCGTTCCGGTCTCCACAGAATTCCCCTGTCATGGAGGTACATCCGCACCTTCCGACCGCATGCTTTCTTCCCGTCTGACTTGTCAGACGTGTAGTCCTACTGTTTGAGTTGCGCTTTCGTAGTGCTGAACTTTCTGAGTGAACTTGTAACTTGTCGATGAAGTGACAGCTTGCTCATTGCTTGCAGATTGCAGAGGCTCGTGTGCAGCTTCAAAGGGCAGTAGACGCAAGTCATGTTGCGCCTACAGCCAAGTATTTGAGACAAGCAGCTGCTGCTTGCTTGAAGCATGGACTGCAGCCTGTCCGTGCTTTGCCTGGATTGGAGCCACATATACAGTTTGAGATGCAGCCTGTCAGCATCTCTCAAGTTGCAGAGCATGTCAGAACAGCGTGTCCAGAAGTTGATAACATTTTGGAGAGGCTGCAAGGCAAGACAGGAAGCAAGTACTTTGTGATAACATATACGCAGCCAATACAGGTCCTCTTGGTCATGCGAGAGCTGATACAGCCCGCTTACCAGCAGCCTCTCAAGGACTTGTTGGCATCCATCAAGCAGTCTCCTGGTTTGGCACCACAGGCATTCAGTGGAGCAGGTCCACCCGGGTTCCGTGTTGTACCTGTGCCCATACATGCCACCAATACCGACGCTGCTGCTTCAGCACTGCAAGCTAAACCAGTCAATCTTGTGAGTATGCCTCGTCAGCTTCTTCACTATTTTGTAATAAACATACTGTACGGTATGAGGTCCTTAAACTGCAGGTCTTTGCGCTGCACACTGAAGCCATGGTGAACTGTGACAGGCAATCATTGCACATTGCCCCTCTCCCTGTTTATGCCTTTTATAATCCCATAAGGAACAATTTTTAGGAAACCCCAACCAAAAAAGAAAAATTTTATAATAAAAAAAAAAAAAAAAAAAAAAAAAAAAAAAAAAAAAAAAAAACGATTTACCTGGTTTTTTTTTTTTTTTTATACACCTTGCCTGGTACAAAGCTGCAGTAGTGTCCAGTGCATGCCATGTTCTGATGCGCAGGGTGTTGGCAAAGCAAGAGCTCAGCTGCATACTGCAATTGTAAGGAGCCATGGATCGCATACAGCCAGGTGGATGACAGAAGCTGCATGGGTGTGCCTGCAGCATGGTCTCACAGCCACAGATCATGGTCTACAGCTGGCACCTGTCAATTGCCGACTGGTGATTGACCATTTGAGGCCAATCTGCCCTGATGTGTACGATGTCATTGGGAAGCTGCAGACGCTCACAGGGCAGAAGTATTTCCGCCTGATGGGAAGCGCTCAGAGTCCATCAGCAATACTGCTCAAGCTTGCCAACATCATACTCAGCCCAGCAAGAACAATTGGCTTAGCAGGCCTGATGGACAACATTCAGACTGTCACTACCCAGCATGCCTCAAGTTTGACTGCTGCTGTCCAGCAACCAAAGCTCAATGCTGATCAGCTGCAAGCGTCACTGCCAGACACCCTGGATCTTACCCCCCCAGGCTTTCACGCTACCACGGCTGGACAAGCCTTTGATGCGTCAGGTGCAAGCACCCAGGCAGTCATCCCTCAAGTAAGGAAAACCTGTATATGGTACAATGTACACTGGTAACAGACTTTTGCATGGTTGAGGCACATTGCAGCAAACCTGCCATGAAATTTTATTGACGAGTTGCGAGCTCGTGAGTAAAAGCACAGTGTCACTGGCTGCAATGGGGCTGAGCCATTTGACGCGCGTTCATAAATATTTTGATGAAACTTCCAGGGTACATTTCCTGGGTTGATTTGGTCTTGATGTTTGCAGGTGGCTGAGGCTCAAAGACAGCTGAAGATGGCAGTCAGCAGGAGCCATCCTCCCACAGCAAAGTACATTGTAGAGACTGCTGCGGTGTGCCTTGACCATGGACTGTTCACTTCAGAAACTGGATTTTTTCTGAAGCCCGTGGCCTGGTCTCTGATAGCAGAAGCTGTCCACAGAAGCTGCCCACACGTTGCGGATCTTCTTGAAAAGCTGTGCGGTAAAACGGGACAGAAATATTTTCAGCTGCTGGGCAACAGCGAGTTTGGCGAGCCTGAGTTTGTGGCTGCCAATCTCGGTACCTTAATCCTGCCAAAGCAGATGCCGTTTGTAAGCCACATCTTGAACCGGTTTGAGAGGAGCAGCCCAGCAGCGCAGGAAAATAGTTCTGCCTCTTCCGTGTCTCCAAATGCACCAGGCAGCTTGGTGTCACCAACTGCTACTGAAGAGCTCCATACCAAACAGTGGCATGTATCACAAGCTGTACCTTCAAGCGGTCAGATTGCTGATAACAAAAGTGTAGGATCATCTGTTCTTGCAGTGCTGCGAGCCCAGCCTGCGAGCAGCAGTAAGTCGGCCAGTGCACAGGGCACACCAAGAGCTAAAGTCACATATGCGCCCGTGCCCATCAGCAAACCAAGGGTTTCTGACAGTGGCAGCAAGGCAAATGGTACAGAAACTGGAAGCACATCTGCCATGCAAGCTCTGCTTTCTGCTTGTATGCAAATTCCTGAGAACAGTGCAAGCGACGGCCAGAAGAGCAGCGAAGTAGCCAAGTGGGTTCCTGCTGTCTCTTGTCCGCCAGCTTCCACACCCTTTGCTGCAACAGCGTTGGTGTCAGCTTCATCCTCAGCTTCCATACTGGCTTCTCTGCAAGCTGCTGCTCCAGCACCCATCAGGACGCAAAGCAAAAGCAGCTGTGGCAACGCAGAAGCTAAATCCACGGAGGACCCTTTCCTGGTATCAAGTCCGCCCTTGACTGCCGCACTAGAGGACAGCCCTTCAAGCAGTATATCTGGCATAACCCAGGCTATGAAGGCGCGCAGCTCTGCATCTACAGAGCTGTCGAGCATTGACGTCCTACCAGAGGGAGAGACTAGATTGACAGTCCCTCAGCAAGCCAGGGTGGATCCATTCTGTTTAGACTGTATGGAACAGCCGGGCCGATGTAGTCAGCATCCACTTGTTCCTAGTCCCGCTGAGCCTGAGTCAGCTGAGGTGCAAGCTCAACATGACACTCACACTCCATCTGATTGCAGCACTCAGGTATGCGTCATGAACGCATTGCCAAGCTGCTTTGTTCCTCTTTTGCTTGGTAATGTGCTCATCTGCTCTAGTGCTGTCTTCAACCTCCTCTTGGGTCGCACTCAGCCTTCTGTACCTGACTTCATGTTGGATGCTACGCTGTGGTTTGTGATGTGCTGTGAGCATTGTTAGCTGCAGGCGCTGCCTTTTGTGACTACACATGACTCAAGTTGTGTCCTGTTTTGTTATGGTGATTATTGCAAGGTGATTATGCAGGAGCATACAGCCTTTGGTGTTGAACCTCTTCAAAGAGTAGCTGTTGTGCTCAAATTTGAGGAGTCTCAGCACAAAGAAGAGGCATACAACCTGAGTTTGGTTCAGGTACGTTTGTCCCCACATGGGTTGTTATGGTTGCAGTAAGCAGTCAGTATGGCAACCAGAGTGTGGCTTCTCAGCAGCAAAGGCAACAACACCAACTTTGATGGTATGCTGTCTTACACTGGCAATGGGTAAATACCAAGGCCACACATAGATACCATAAGAGAGCAGTCATTTCATGGCCAGACTAGCATCCTGTGCTTGACTCCAACACATCTTCTGATGCAGGTCTACTCTGCTAAAGATGGCATCATTCTGAGCATGAAGGAGCTGCAACAGGGGAAGCAAAGACAGGAGCTGGACAGCATTCTGGAGGACAACAGTGTTGTCAAAGTTGTGCATGATGCTGGCCAAGCGGCTAACTATTTCTTCTCTGCAAATAGCACCTCGATGAAGAATGTCTTTGACACTCAGGTACTGTCCATCTTCTGCCTTACAACCATATGGGGGTTGCATGGGGCAGCACTTGGCCACACACTGCGCTGCTGCATTTGTTTTTGGTGTATGGTGTTATACAATCATGAGAAGCATCTGTTGGCCATGCTACAGAATCCATCACTTCATATGCTGGTGAGCACAGAGGGCCCTTGACAAATTTTGTATTTGTCGTGTGCATGAGGGGGGACAAACGTTTTTATGTCTGAAAAGCGGCAGGTCCATGTGTATGATATCGCCCTATGTCACATCATACCATATGTTTTTTCAACAAGTGACAGTGCTGCAGTCAGTTTGCACTATGACAACTGTGCTGCTCTGTGTCTCAAGGGCCACAAGAACATGGCATACCCTTGGGTGAATGTACTAGTTTGAGTACAGCTCACAGGGCCTATGAATTTAACAGAAACAGTGTACTTATTGTCTGATTTCATGTGTTTGCATCTTGTCTTTACCGACTTACTTATACTTACTCACTCACTTACTTGCGTACAAGTGGTTTCCTCAATTGTTCTTGGGGACAGAGGGGCCAACAGACTTTCAAGATCAGGAGCAAAAGTCCCTGTGATGCCCAATAGAACATGTAGCATGCGTCTAAAATCATATTGGTGAGACGGGTTGTACATCGTTGCACAACTCAAAAAGTTGGTCAGAAATCAGCATAACCTGGTTGACAAAATATAGCTATCTTTAATTAAGTGTAGATGGTATGTCCAGCAATGGGTGTGGGTCATGGAATGTTGGAAAAGGTAAGCATGAAACTATGGCTGGGCATCTGGAGCTTTGTGTGCCGGATCTTGTTCACAGACGCATATGTGGTTGGTATCATAAGCCTATTGTGTGCAGATTGCTCAAGGTGTGCTGGACCACATGAGCAGTTTGATGGGTAGCACACACCATCAGAAAAGGCGCAGTCTTGGTGAGCTTCTCCTCTTGTACGAGCTGGAGATACAGCATCATCCGGAGGCTCTACAAGGTAAACTAAACAGCAGCAACATGCCATGCTGTTCTGCGTAATTTGTCACTGTGGTCAATGTCATAGCTTTGAATGCTACTTTGGCTCATTCATGCGTTACCTGAGAACCTCGCCCAGCCCCCTGCTGCTCCGCTGCTACATGTCACCCGCACTTGCAACCTGGTAGACTGTGACTGATGTTTCTTACTCAAGTTGCATAAGTTACACGGCACGACATCCTCTATCTTTGCACATTTGGCATATAGCTCTCTGGCAAAACATGTTGGCTGACGGAGGGCCATAAACAGACAACAGCAGCACAACTTGCTGAGGTGGCATGTGTGCTGCTTGAGTGTCAGACAATTTGCAAACTGGCAACACTGCAGGCATGGAAGAAGGGACAGCCACAGAACTTGAACAGGTAGCTGCAGCAGAAGCTGCTGCCATGCTTCAGTTGGCTGAAAGAGTGAGCAATCAGCTAGGTGTTGCTGGCAAGTCAACCGTGTACAAGTTGTGCCAGGCGCTGGTGGAGCAAAAGCATGCGCCTGCAAATATTAGCAGTGACAGGTGATTGCTGTTTACGTGGCTCAGGTAGTGGAATGTTTGGTAATTATACTAGGCACTGCATTGGCACAATGCGCAGCATTGTTATCGTCTCCAAACAGCATCACAGTGTTATGCCTGATTGTATAGGGCAATGCATTTATCAAACTGCAGGATAGGGCTCAGCATTGTGGGTTTGATACTTTCTGATAGCGACATCAAGGCTTGAACTCTCGTTATGAGACAAGTTTCAGAAATAACGAGCTGGTTCTGAGGTGGGTTTTTACCATGCAGAGTGTTCGAACCTTTGCCTGGGAATGTGGACCTTGAGATGACATTTCCCCAAGATGGCACCCACAAGCCTATCTTCCGTAAGCTGACTGACAGCAGCAGTACACAGCCAAACGCCGAGGCTGATGGCATACACTGGCAAGCAGCTGCAATGGGAGCTGACCATGTTACTGATGATGGACCCTCATCAGCAGGTGCAGTTCCTGCTGTCACACCAGTACTTTCATATCTTCGTGAGCTAGGCTTAATTCACAGTATCTGCTGTGTCTGATGGGCTAGCATGTGCACTGCAACCTTCGACCTTTCTGCACTTCTGACCTTTTGCTGTGTCAAATTGGAGCATGATTACATGAGACACTGCTTGTACTTCCTAAGTGCAGTGTAGGCAATGTCTGATGAATCTCCTGTTCATGCAGGGCCACAGGCAGATCCTGATATGCAAACTTTCTTACAACTGCTGCCAGTTCAAGTCAGAGATGCAATCATCCGGCATCTCACAGACAAACAAGGAGCGTTGCAGTTGCCTCAGAGTCAACCACCTGATTTGCAAGGCAATGGCGCAGTCAGTACTCACAGCAGCAGGTGAAATTCCACGGGGAAAACATGCACAGTCACCGTCCAAAACCAGTTGCACATCTGTCGTTTGCTTTTTGTACAATTTCAACAGACCTGCAGCCTTTTGTAATGCTGAAGTTTCTTGTCTGTGATAGCTGCCTGCACTGCCCTCAAAACAGACCTACCCACAAGCCATGCCTCCCAGGGACGCCATTGTTGGGTCAGTTGCTAAGTTGACCCTCTCGGCTTGCTGCAGGTCCCCCTCCCCCAAGCCTTCTCTTGCCGCCACACTGGAAGACTTCCCCACTCAAAATGAGGACTGGAGCAGTGTGGACAAGAACCAGGACTGTGATTCCAAGGCTGCACCTGCTGCTGTTGAAGAAGAAGATGGGTCAAAGGGCTTTGGAGAGGTGCTAGATCCACAGCCTCGTTCTCCAACCTCGTTGCCACCTACTAGTAAGGAGCCTGCTGTCAGCCTCGGCGATGAAGGGGAAATCCAGCAGGAGGTTGCGTGCATTGGGCATGATGAGGCAGATGTGCAGTGCGATAGGTGCGGTAAATGGGGCCACACAGCTGCCAGCTGCGATGAGATGTACTGTGATCGGTGTCAGCAAATGGGCCACATTATCACGAACTGCAAGAGCTGGCAGCTGCAGAACGCTGGCGCTGGTCCTTTAAATCAGGAAGCAGAACCTGAGGCCCAGTCGGCTGCTAAGCAGCAGGAAACGGAACAGATGCAGTGCTTCAGGTGTAAGCAAGACGGTCACTGCAGTGCAGAGTGCCCTCTTCCAGATGTCGAGCACTGCTACAACTGTCATCAGCTAGGCCACCTTTCACAGTTCTGCCCTGTTCTCAGGACAGCTGTAAAGGGTCTTCCCCTGGCTCAGCAGCAGGGCAGTGGCAAAGCGGAGGGCTCTCACCACCAGCAGGCTCCAGCCTTCACAGCTTTCCCCAGTGCCAGAAACCAGTACGGCAAGTGAGTGCTCAGCATTGCTGAAATGACAGATCCAGAACATCACCCCAAGTTGCTGCTGTCTAACTGCAGTGGCAACAAGCAGGCTTGATCTGGGCACTTGCAGTACCTGCGCCTGGGTGGGATATGAGTAACTATCACTTGGTGCCTCAACTCAGCCTGATGTGCATTTCTAGCATGGAAGCTGTATTGTGAAAAGGCAATACACACCTGCATCACATATAAGTGAACTGTGTATTCACAGACTCAAACACAATGACACTAACAACAGACAGCTGCACCCAATCCTTCACGTAGCATTTTGCAAGCAGCTGATGTTGTTACTGTGAACTGCAGATTTGCAGCAGCCAGCGTCTTGACAGAGGTAATTGCAGACAAGGGTAGATCACTGATTGTCCGATTTAGCGACGGATCATCAGAAGAGGTGCCAGTCCAGACAGACATGACACAGGCTTTGCAAACACTGGCAGCCCTGGACCCTGGTACTGCTCAACCCCTGTTGCCTGGCTGCTGCTGCAAATGTGTTGAACCAGTTCTTGATGCACTCGTGTCAAACACCACAAGCATTCACACCTGATTGTATGCCATGTGTACAGCTGGCAATGCTTTGTAAATGGGCTCAGTGCTCTTTGTTTTTGCAAAACAACACGCAATGTGCAGAAACAGGTTCCCTGCACCTATGCAGGGAACTCTGTTGGTGATCTGTTTGACCATGACAATAGGCTGCGGCTGGATGAGTCACTGCACCAAGTCAGCGCCATCAGGAAGTCTGATGGACACTGCACTGTTGTGGGTCTTACTTACCGTATTGGTAGACACATGCCAGGTCAGCGCCTCCCTCCCCCCCATTGTCTTGCATGACCATCAGCTGGTTGCAAAACTCTCTGATGACAGTGTCCTGTCTTTCGTGGTTTGATGCAGCCGCTCATAAGTAGTGTTTGTAGTCAAGCTGCATCTCCCGTGACTTACTATGCTGCGCTGTTGCAGCAAAAAGTAGAAGGTTCTGCTGCGTACTGGTGTATCTGGCATTGTGAGCCCTACTTCAGCTATCTCACTTCAAGACATGCATACATCAGCCAATTGGGTACATCAAGGTTTGGTGTATCATTCGCGCAGGTGTGGGTAACCTCATCTTAGATGTGTTGTCACAGCTGCAATTCAGCGGCAGGAATGGAATGGGAAGTGTGGGTGCCAAGTCATTGCTGATCTTGGGTGGTCCTGCTACAGGTATCCTAATTACTCCTGCTGCATGCCTCCCTGCTCGGAGCACTGCCACAGCCATTCCAGTTCTGGCACAGCTCTGTGCTTGCAGCATGCATATCTTGCTGCTGCACACCGTTATCTGGACTCCTTCAGTCTAGGGCTGTATTGGCCCAGAGCATCCTTCCATTCAGATATCTGCGCGCCACTCCACGGCCTCTGCAATTGTTTGGCCATGTTGCCAGCAGATGCATTGCATGCACAGGGCAGGACAAAAGTATCTGATTGAGCAGCTTCATCACCTTGTAACCTGTGCTGAACACTTCATAGACCATATGTCCAGTACACAAGTAGTGGCTGGTTTGCACTGCAGGAAAGACCACCTTGCTTCGTGATGTAGCCAATATCATGGCAAACATGTTTGACAAGCATGTGGTGGTGGTGGACACCGATAATGAGATTGGCGGCAACGGAGCAGTGCCTGACAAGTGTCTGGGCAGAGCACGCCGTATGTCAGTGCATGATCGGTCAAGGCAACATGAAGTGTTGCTTCAAGCTGCACAGAACCATAAACCTCAGGTGAGATGAGTTTCAGGCATGATACATTTGACCCTTGATTTAAGCAGCAGCAGATGGCAGCAAATGTGGTGCTGGCCAAATTGTACTTGCCACTGGCTCACTATAATTTTGATATGCCCACTGCGCTCCTTCTGCGAGTTGGAGATCATGTCGTTATGCTGTGGTATGACAAAAAGCAAAGGTGATGCAGGCGATAGTAGTGGACACTATCAGCAGCTCTGAAGATGTCAGAGCGGTGAAGAGCATCATTCAGAGAGGCATTGCTGTCATTGCCACTGCAGAGGCCATATGCCTAAGCAGCCTGATCAACAACCCAGAGCTGAACTCATTTTTGGGAGAGCCTCAGCATGTGGGGATGCAAGCAAGGTGTGTGCTAAAAAACCGTTTCCCTTCAGGATCCTGATATTTCACAATGATGTTGCAAGCTGCAGCAGACAACTGTTTGTGAAGCCGGGCGTTTGTCAATGACTGCATCACTTTTGTTGGGAGTTTTTCTTTGTGCTACAGGTGTCTGGTCTCGTCAAACAGCAAGGCTGTCTAGCTGACTGCATTTGCACTGGATCACATCTTGCAGCAGACCTTCCAGTGCTAAATTTGAACACATACATGGAAAAAGCTATTGGGCGTGGCTTTGAAAGGGCACATTACTTGTGCACACAATGATGGTTAGGTATGGTACTTCTTGCAGGTGTCAGCAATCAAGCATTGCCTCCACACTTGCAAGCAAAGGAGAACCAATCTTCACACATCTGATTGAGCTCCTGGACTGTGGTCGTTGGCGTGTACACTCAGATGTATTCTGCAGTGTGAGTGCAGCATTGGCGGGTACACAGCCAAACTCGCAGCTACGAATGCACAGGAACGGCAAGATGATTGTGCGTTCTGAAGCAGCTTCGGATGAACATGCAGCAGTTGGCAATACTTGCAGCTCCACATCTTCATGGCTGAATGAAGTGAATGGTACCTCTCGATAATGACATGTGTTCGCAAGAAGGCTGAGGTCGTCGAGACATCTGAAAACAGGTGTGCTGCAGCTGGGCCACGCTCTGCCTAGTTTCAGGGTAGATCTCTAGAGAGCACACTCATTTACCAGTATGTATCAGGCGTCACATCTTCTGGTCTAGTATGATGTGCATGTTGGCTGCATACCTGCAACAGCGTCTTATGTAAATGGGTACAACCGTGCCGCATCACAAGCTCACGCATGCACAGCAGACTTTCAATGCCAGTGCAGACTGATATATTTTACGAGCTTCTGACGCATCATCAGCAGCTAGGCTTGTGTGCCAAACCACGCTGACGTGTGACTCATGCAGTGAGAGGATCTGTATGCTGGCACACACTGGCTGGGCATGACCACAGGTTAACGTGGCATTCCATCACTGCCAGCTTTGATGACTGCCAGCTTTGATGGAGGCTGAAGAAAGCATACAGTTACACGTCGAAGATACAAACTACATGATTCACGTCCAACCAGCAAACTCGACCATGCATAACTGAAAATGCCAATTCTATCGACTGTACATATATAATGATGGGATCTGAGTCACAATCACAGATAGGCAAGGTTTTATACCCAAGGACACAACCACTTGGCCAGCTGACTAGCGCACCGCAAAAACCTGTCGATACTTGTTGACCTGAAATACATCACACCACCTGTCACATCAAGTGGTGCCACAGACACAGCAGGAGATACAGTTAACCTGACGCCCCTCCCTAAGTCCGAGAGACAGGATGCACACTGAATGTTTTGAGGCCCAGTAAAACTTATACAGCTGATGTTGCCAGTGTGAAAAAAAAAACCAATGTGCACAGTGTGTACAACTGACCCGTACAATCCCAAGTGGCATGAGTCAATCAACCCACATACACTGTCAGTCCTCAGCAAGCACTCTGGTAAGAGCACATCCATAACATGCCATCAGTAGTTATCACCAGTCAGGTGCCAAATCAGGCAACGGGGGGATATGAGGTGCCGGGGTAGTCTGAATTTGCTGGCACAGCTGCCAAGCCTGCCTGATTGATTGGCATTCTCCTGTCATCAAGCTGCACCAAACACACAATCCAATGAGAGAATAGTGTCTTCAGTTGCACAAACCACTGTAATGTCAACCACAGCACAGTCTGCAACCCAGCCAACCAGGATCAAACCACTGTTGGGTGTACATAGAATGTACATTATGAGCAATCATTGCAGGTCATTCAGAAACTTATGATTAAACTGGAGCAGGCTACTACAGCAATGGTAGCAAAAGGTTGCTGCAATCTGGAGTAGGCTTTTGGCAACAGTATCAAGTGCTAAGGTGGTAAGGAGGCTTACTGGCACAACAACAGGCTGTGGGTGAGCACTGTCACCCTCAAAGCCCATCTTAGGGTTGGCAATCTGGTTCTCCTCAATGGCACGTCCCTCTTCTTCGCTCAGGGGCACAATCAGTCCCTTGGCCTTCCTGGCAGCCCTGATACGCTCCATTGGGTCACCAGTCTCATAAGGGACAATGAGGTTGAGGACCATGGCCACCAGCCACCCAAACACATACCCAGTCTCCAGAACCAGAATAACGCTGTCTCTGCAAACATGGGGAGGTAATGTGAGGTAACAACAGGCAGCTCTCCCAGCTTGCCACATACACAAGGCAGCAGACTATGAGACTATGTTTGCAGCTGTGCGGCTTGATCGGCAGATGCAAAGCCTCAATACAGGCCAGCTTGTGCAGCTAATATCAAGCATGAGACGTGAGCAGGAAACAACAGTACCTGACTGCACGAACTCCAGAAGGCATGGTGTCGGTGGCCACCCACAGGTTGTCTGTGGCCCAGCCTGGGTTGATGATCACCCCAATGCCCAGAGCACAGGAGACAGTAGCAATGAAACGGCGCCTCCTGTCAATGCCCTCATTCATGAGCACCTTGATGCCAGACAAGGCAATGGAGCCAAAGAGGAATGTGGTGATGCCTCCAATCACACAGGTTGGCGTATTGGCAAAGAAGGCTCCAATCTGTGTAAGCAGTCAACTGTCAAAATGAGCAGGTTTGACACCATCAGATTGCAATCTTTACCCTCTGCTCACTACAGGAGAGCAGGCTTGGACAGGAAAGGCAATGGTCAATGCAGCCACAAACTGCTGGCAGCCACATTTGACAGCAGCATGTGCGTCAACAGCAACCTCACCTTTCCAAGAACGCCAAAGATGAAGAGCCAGAAGGCGGTGGCAACACCAGCCATACGGGAGGCGCAAAGTGTGAAGGCAATGATTCCATTATTCTGGGCAAACACATTGACGGGAGGGGAGGTTGCGCAACTGGCCAGGAAGCAGTTGAAACCTGCAAAGCAGCACCTCAAGGCATGAGCAGCAGTTTGCTGGACAGCCTGGAGTGCTGTCCCCTGCAATGTGCATTACACATACCTCTGCATCCCCTAACATGTCTTGCTGGTGTTCGGCAGCTTCAGACAAACAAGAGATACACTTCACAGACAGACAGGCAGACAGATATAGACCTGCACACAGACAGACAGACAGGAGCTGTCAACCAACCGTCACTCACCATCAGCAAGCAGACAACCCTGAATCCTCTCATCGTGGGCCGGGCCTCTCTGTTCAATGCCAGAAGCTTCCTCAGTGGCTGTGACGTCTCCTACAGCTGTGGCAGCATCTGCCCAGTACCCAATGATGAAGGGCAAGATTGCGCCAGGATAGATGCCTAGCTTGAATGTGTGAACCTGCAAATAGTTTGTAGGTCAATATAAGGCAAACATGTACAGCAATGACCTCCAGTATATCCGCCTCTGATACCAAAACATGCCATAGCCATGTAGCAAAAAAGTCAAAACAAGGAGTTATGTCATTAAACATGCTTTGCTCCTTTTGAACAGCAACAATATGTTTTTTGTATGAACTCTTGACAATAGATGCTTCAGCCACAAACAAGGGCCAACAACTGCTGATGTCAGATAGCATAGTAGAACAGTGATCAGTTGCAGCATCTGGAGGGGTGTGAGACTGACCCAGAAGAAGGTGCCAGCAGGAGCTTCATTCACAGCAGCCATGTCCACATATGGCTTGCCATCCTTCTTCACAATGGCAGCCACAGCATATGCCATCAACCAGGCCAAAATAATCTGCATGTCACACACAATGTTAGCTACCCGTGCATGGTCGAGCAATGTGCAAATACAGGAGGCAGCAATGTTTGGCAAAGCTGAAGCCATGCACAAAGCTAGGTGTGAGCAAGTAAGCCATTCATGTCCAGGGTATGCATGAAAATAGGGTTACATAATGTTCTACAGACAGGCTGAGCTCTGTTGGTCTGTCACAAAGACTCTGTCACAGCAGAGCTCAGCCAAACTCAATGGGACATCGAGGCAGGTGTGAGGTGAGCTTACTGCAGAGTTTCTAGCAAATGGCGATCCAAAGGTCTCCAGCAGGATGATGAAGATGAATGCCAGTCCACCCAGGCCCTGCAAAGACAAACATAGTCCAGATACAGCAGCGAAGCAGAGCCTGAAGCTGTCATGGCAAGCACATACACAGCATGCTGCTCAAACTGCATTCTGCAGAAGCCGAGTGTTGGCTCAATTTTGTGCAGCAGGATACACATCAGCACAATGAAAGGCAGCCAGTTTGGACAGGCAAGACAATGCAGAGAGTGAGAAGGACTGACCAGGTACTCGCGAGAGCCGAAAGGAAGCTCCACCTGACCATTGCCACTACAGTTCTGAGGCAGACCAGTCGTGGAGTTGAGCAGAGAGCATCCACCACCCCAGTCCTGCACCACCACCATACCATGCTCACCACTCATTTGCACAGACAAGGGGTCTCATGCCGTGCCTCAGAAGATTAGCTATGTGACTTTGCGAAAACCATACCAAATGAAAGGGGTTTGCCAGTTGGTGGCCTTTTGTCCTTTGTACAATTGCCCAACAGTGATGCTCATGTAAGTAGGAACGCCATAAATACAAGGTTGTACAAGCCTTAAAAAGAGCCCCTTCAGATGACTGGGAAGGACATTGCTCAAGGTGTTGATCAGACTGACACAAAGTTTCAAATGGTGTGACATTGTACAGACAGACATGTGAGCAAGGGTGAAGGTGTGAGATGGTTTACCGAGATACCAGCGACCCCAATCAGGTTAACGCCAACCAGGAAGACAGTGAGGCCAGCAATCCAGGTTGGGAACAGCTTCCTCAGAACCCTGGGAGGAAGAAAAGAGATGAGGGTGGTGGCGAAGGAACACACCATGTTGGTCCCCAGAAATTTGCCATAGGCATCATTCCAACTGTAGCCTTGCTCCTGAGAAACACAGAAACACCGTCAAAAGCATGCGAATAATGGAATTCCTTATTCTAATTCCAACCCATGATAATATAATGGAACATATGCACTGCTCTGCTTGGGGCATTGACATGAGCATGCCCCGACTAATTGTCAATCATCACTTGCACTGTTGATTGCATGAACAATTCTGACCAGTGCATGCAAAGTAGCAAGGGTACCATTAGGCTGCTGATGCTATTCAGCCCAATCACAATCTGTGTGGTTGTGATTCCCAGCACCGACACAATGCCAGTTCCATAGTAGTATCGTGTGAATGGGATCTTGAAGCGGACCACATGGAAGAAGGTGCCAATACCACAGGCCATCAGGGCAACTGATGTCAGATCTGCAACACACCACAGCTGCTGTCAGGCTAATACGATTACAATAATGCCATCGAGAGCCTTATATCATGTGTCAACATGCGCCTGGAATGCCTTGTGCAACTTCCTACAGACCTTGTGTAGTCCGTGATTCGCTCCTTTCCCACTGAACTGTCCTTTGGATACTGCATGCAGTTGACATATGCATATGTGACACGCATGCACTCTGCTGGCGCATGCAAAGTTCCATGAAGCACAGCCTGCTCCATAGTACAGCAAGGCAGTCCACACTTTTGAAAAATTTACAATGCCAAAGCTGAGGTGATGGGCGCCAATGGACTTCATGTTGTCCGTACATGGTAATGGGGGCTTACATTGGGTGATGTTGACGTTGGGGTTGGATGATGCCACAATGATGGGTCCCAGCACGATGCCTCCTGTCATAGCCAAGGCATGCTGCAGCCCCATGATAAGGGCCAGTAAGATTGGTAGGGGCTCATTCACAGCAAAAAAAGGTGGCAGCCTGTCTGTTGTATCCTTGCGGCAATAAGGCCATTTAGGCTGCAGAAGCAGAAACAGTCAGAGTCAAGTAGCAACATCAACTCCAGATGACAGCCACCTCAATGTGAGCTGATGATTGACAGTGCTCAGCATGACGAGGACTGCCAGCTTGCTTCAGAGCGACTCGTGGCATTCAGTCTGATACTACTTTTGACCGCCGGAAACAGAGCACAAGCCGCAAGCATGACAAAGAAGGGCGTGACGACAATGCATCTAAAGGCCAACTACTTACGTCCAACGTGAAGCCCACGAATGTCTTGTATGCGCATGCGTCTTACCATGAAAAGATATTTGTAGTCGTAGTCGCCAATGAAGATATCCTTCATGCTGCCGTGTGGAATCCATGTCGCCCACCTCACTTTCGGCAATCCTCCCTTCATGTTGCTTGAACCGGCACACAGACAGAGGGTCCTCCGCTGTTAGGCAGGAAGACTGCTAAGGGGGAAAGCCTGCTGCACAGTCCAAAAAGAGAGTCAGGCAGCTATGTCAAGTTCATCCGTATACAGAACGTTGTTTATGCAGCTGAACTTAACGCCCTGCACACGACATATCAACAAGTACACCCGGGTGGATAGGACGAAGATATGCGATGCAGGTTATGTCACGTATTCGTAGGCGGTGAAGCTGGCTCATTGCAACAGTAAAGGCAGGCCATGCGACAAAACTCATAACTTGACAGCAATGTTTCGGGGTTTCGAAAACTCTTTTTGGCCTCGTCCGACACCAAAACGCGTCAGACTGCAGAGATCAACTGACCTGGAGTACTTATTTCTGACACTTCTGTCTTCTGTCCAGCCTTCGCTTGACAGCCGGAACTCCGAGCCGGACCTCAAGACGTGCTGCAATGCAAAAGCAGTGCGTCACCCGTGTTCTGCGTCTGCAAATGCGTCTTTCGCCTGCCAAGCTTTCGCCGGTAACGTCAGCAAACGATCTGACTGAGGGACCACTATTTAATATGTTTAGTCACACGTGAACCCCAAAGCAATCTGGTGAGTCATACTTAGTAAGGGCGTGAACTTAGCCCTGGGCCTCTTCAACAGCTTGGGCCTCTTCAACAGCTTTTTGGACTGTCTCAATTGGTTACGTCTGTAAGGTCAGTAGTCAGTTAGACACATATGTTTACGTGATGCCAGACTGCAGATTAATCTAATATTGACAATGTCATTGTGTCACTAGTGGTCAGCACGTGTGTTGCCAAGGTATAGCTCTGATCCCACAGATTGTTGAAACTCACCATCAATTAGCCGTCGGGCACCTGCCTGATCAAGCCGATGCTCTCAGAGAGTCTGTGTACTTCTCAACTTGCCCCTTGTTATCGCTTATCCAGCATGATTAACCACCTCTTTTGGTAATGCGCGTGCTTCCGCTGGATTGCATGAACTTTACAACCCTATGTTGGCTCCTGTGCATCCTGCCATTTTCCCTGTTTTACAAGAATATAGTAAGTGTTGCAATGTTGTGTTGCAGACAATCCAAGGGTCACTGCGCCTTGGTCAAGGGTACAGTTTTAAAATGCTTGCCTATGGCTATCTGACACCATCACAGCAGTATCAGGGATCACAACTAACACATGCAAACGCAGAAATTGCAAATGCTACTCAAGTTTGAATGGTTGCAAAGGTTGACATTGCTTTCCTCACAATGCGAATCGCTGAAATCTGTTTTCCCCGAAGTTACCGTCCGCTGTGTCACTGGAACAGGTAAGCTGCCTGCTCAGCTGCATGTGATGCATGATGCACGTCCACCGCTTGCAGAACCCAGCGACTGGGCCTGAACCTCTGCAGTGGCATGCCAACTGGATGCTTGCTACAGTGCAGCCGTTCCTGCGTGCGTGGCTTTCCTTGATCTTTTGCCTTGCGTAATTCGACTATACAGCCCACATTTTCATCATTATATAACCTCACCCTCAGTATCCGTCGATTAGGTGAGAACTTTGCTGTCTGTTGAAAAGCTGATCTACTACTGTCAGCATTTCCAAACTCCCCTGATCATTCAGAGGCTCCCGTTATGATCGCCTAACGGCGTAGATTTCTGCTGCTGCTGCTGTTACGTCAGGCATGGAAGGGATGCCCAGTAACCGCCTCAGCTCATTCTGCCAAGCTTCTCGCACTATGGTTATGGATAGTACAGCTCTTGTTTCCATACAGGCTGTACTCACTAGCTTTACCCTGTATGCAGTCAGTGGAAAGCACACTTGCTCACTGTGTGCAATGTGCAGCTAAAAACTGCTGTCTTGGCCACTGCCCAGCATGATTGGAGACCAAGTTGACACCTATACGCATTTCTTGAATTCAACATGCACTGTCCTGAAGGAGTCCTGCTGTCTGCTGGGCTCTGTGCTTGTATTGTGACACCTGACAGACTTTGCTGCTGGGCTGCAGGAGGACTGGGGAGAGCTGAACGTGGGCAAGAGGCCGCCTTCACTGTTTGTGCTGGACCTGAAGCGCTGGAATGTGAAGCCAGTGAAAGGCCTGCCTTTAGACAGCAGTGTTGGCCAACCAGAATGGACGCCTGATGGTATGCTTGACATCAGACTTCTGCTCATTCAGAGGTCAACTGCTTGTTGCAAAGCAAGGGGCTGCTCAGTCTTCAGCACCACACAGTGCGCAATCATGAGGCAATCATGAGGCAATCATGAGGCAATCATGTGCTTCACATACTCATTGTGCTTGACATATCTTGGGTTACCTGTGCATAATTTGTTATTGCCTGCTATCTTTCTGTACCTACTCAAGATTACATGACACTCACATCATCATCAACATACTATACAGCAGTCCACTGCTGGACACATCTCATAGCTGAGGAGTGCTCTGCTGCTGTTGATGAATTGGCCTTGACCTCGCTTTTCAAACAGCCCTGGCATAGCTGCATATCACACGACTGTATCCCAACCATTATGTTGACTGCAGGCAAGTCCTTGGTCTGTACTGTCTGGTTTCATAAGGCTCACAACTTCCCGAACCTGCCGCAGCGCCTAGGCATAGTTTACTGTCTTAACCGGCCCTGTTCACTCTACAGCATCAAGATTCCCTTCACCTGTAAGAACAATACACCCTCAGATTCTAACCCACAGGCCAAATGCCTCACAACAAGCCTCCTCAGTGCCATGAGCCCCAAGTTCAGCCCTGATGGCGACAAGCTGGTGTTTGTGTCTCATGATGCAGCTGCAGGCAGTGGGGTGCATCATGCTACTGCTGCCCTCAAACATATACACTGGTCACCAGGTAACAGTAAGTTGCGCTGCTGCGTCAAATGCTGTTGTATGCTCCAGGAGGTCCTACTGTGGCGATCATGCATGTTTTCCTGCAATGGTGCCATAGGGTGATGAAAAGTCTATGCATGTGCTGGTGCAGCTTTTGGGGTGCATTATGATGTGCTGAACCAGTTCATGGCTCAAATGCAGAAGGTGGATGGGGAGCTGCTGCCACACTGGTGGATGTGGTAATAAACCCCATTTCTGATGAAGCATTTCCAGGGCTGTACCTCGGAGCCCTGTCAGAAACCCCTTTTTTAGGTACCCCACTGCTTAGTGCATGTTGAATGTGTGCTGTGCTGTGCCATGCTGAGCTGCCCTGCGACGCCCTGACGCGCACTGAGCTATGCTGTTGCTAGGTGGGATGGGCTGGGCTTCACACTTCCAAGATCACACATCATGGCAGTTGATGTTGTGTTGCAGACCTCACTTGTCTGTAGCTAACCATGCAGGTCACAAACAATGCAGCTTGCAGCAGATGTATGCATGATGTGCAACAGCTGTGTCTGCTGTGCTGTGGCTTGATTTATCTCACCGTATGCAGCACATTCATGACAAAGAGTGAAAGGCAATGCTCAGCCTGTGATCAAGCTGCCAGCAGTATGTATGTTTGATGCAGATAGCAAGACACTGCTGGTAAGCTCACAGTGGCGCAGCAGCACAGCTCTGCTGGCTATTAGTCTGGACTCAGGCCATGTGCAGCGCATCAGCCAGCATGATACAGACAGAGCTTCCTGGGGGTTTGCTGCCACATCCCAAGGTAAGACCTCTGTCCTTTAGCAGTAATCTTTGCATGGCAGCCGGCACCATGAATGCATGGCTGAGATGTGTGCCATAATTTGACCATTGATTGACGACATTGAGGCAGGTGGCAGAATGTTACTTTCTGCGGCATGACCAGTGAGAATGTGTGGAAGTGCTATCACCCATGCAGGACTGTGACCGTTGTCATGACGGTGCAAGGCGCCTGTTAGCTTTACACATGCATCATCGCAGCTGAGTCTTCACTTGTCTTTGCAGGTGCTGTTGTTGCTGTGACCTCATCCATACATCGGCCACCAAACCTGCAGTTCACAACAAAAGCATCAGGCAACAGCCCTGACTGGGTGCCCTTGACCCTTGAGGGCAGTTGGCCATATGACAAGGCAGTTGAGCAGGCCTTGCCAAACACCAGGCACCAGGTCCTCAAGGTCATTATTACAAATCTTTACTGCCTGTTTTCATGCTGACAAGAAAGCTAAAAAAGGCAGTGTAGGTACATGTATCTTCTTGCATTGCTTCATTGACATGGCTGCACTGTACATGCTGTTGGCCCTGTCAGTTTCAGTGCACAAACCTCTTTCTGGCTGACGCAGCAGTATTTGCTGTTGAGGGTACTCAAGAGGGCTTGTCATGTGCTGTTTTGGAAGACAATGCCTGGCAGGATTGATGGTAGTCACAGTCATGCTGTACATGCCTTGCACACCACTTCATGGCACCATGTAGTGCTTTCAGTAGCGCTAAAGCCAACATGAACCACACAAGGGTTGCATGAGTTCTGGCAGCTCAGTAGCATTGCTGCAGCGGTCCTCACAGCTCCTGTCCATGAACTCGATGATGTACTTAACTGACTTTGAGTCAACACATTGCAGGTGAAGGCCAGCAACGCGCCAGACTTACCTGTTGAGGCAATCCTGATCAGTCACAAAGACAGTACGAGTCCCCGGCCATCCATCCTGATCCCCCATGGTGGTCCTCATTCCTGCTACTCCGCCTCTTATTTCTCTGGCTATAATTTTCTCCTGACCCTGGGATTCAATTTGTTACTGGTCAACTTCAGAGGGTCTACAGGCTTTGGAGAGAAGTCCATCCAATCATTGCCGGGCAATATTGGCACTAATGATGTGCTGGACTGTATGGCAGCGTTACATGCAGCCATTGACACTGGTAAGCTACACATTGCAACTGAAAACAAGAACCAGTTGGCAAATTGCAGTTATCACAAAACTGTAATGTAGTCATTACTGACATGTATGCGTATCTCGTTGGGGTGCACAAATTTGTGTGTTGCTGTTTCTTGTGTGGTCCAGCCAGCAGAATGTTACATCAAGGGCAGTGGATCATGGTGGTTGTTTGTACTGCATACATCAACTAGTTAACCAGGGCTGGGCTGGTCTTATCATCAGATTTCACATGTGATTTGCATCTCACCAGTACATTTATGCTGCATCTCACCCACTTAGTACAAGACACGCCTAACACTGCAAATCTAGTGTTACCAAAGCGGCGTTGTGCAGGGCTGGTCGACAAAGACAGGGTGGGAGTCATGGGGGGCTCCCATGGGGGGTTCCTGACAGGCAACCTGGTGGGCCAGTACCCCTCTGCTTTTAAGTGTGGGGTACTGAGGAATCCTGTCATGGATCTTGGGCTCATGATTCACGTCTCGGACATCCCAGACTGGACCTATGTGGAGGCTTTTGGAAGCAAGGTACGCTCTTGGCTAAGCGGCAAAAAACTTTAGCTCTTGAGCACCTCAAGCTTCATTCTAGCTTCACAATGGCGTAGTGTTTTCTGTTCTTGTGTCATCATGACAATTCCAGCCAGGAGATTACGCTCGTCACTATATTTTGTAGGCTTTCAGATTGTTACAGTAGCCTTGTATCCTGCAGACCTTGTGTGGCTACCTGCTTGCATGGCCCATCATTCTGCACAGCCCGCATCTGCTTCAGCTCTGTTGGTCTGCTTCAGCTTATACCGTACATGTACTATAGCAGCCAACTGATACCCGACTGCTTTGTGCAGGAGGGCATGCGGAGAATGCAAGTCAAGCCATCTCCTGAAGACCTGCAGCGATGGAGGGAAGTGTCACCAATAGCTCATGCTGACAAAGTCACCGCACCTCTCTTTTTCATGTTGGGTGCCAAAGATCAGCGTGTGCCGCAACGAGACGCAAAGCAGTATTTGGCAGCACTCAAGTCCAGAGATGATGCACCTGAGACCAGAATTATTGTTTTCCCTGAGGACACACATGCACTTGACAAGCCACAGACAGAGTTTGAGCAGTTTGTCAATGCTGCCTGGTGGTTCAAGCGCTTTTTGAAATGACATGCAACATTTGGTTATTGTGACCGCATCATTGATCATCAGCGCTCCTACAGTAACTGTAACAGTACAGAGCGTCAGCAGATATGTATCATCTCTGTACGTTGTTCATTATATTGCGACCTGTTTCGCTGTGCGAGGCTTTCTGCTTAAAGAAAATTTCTGCCAGACACTGAACAATGTCAAATTATGCCTGATGAAGCATTCAAGTGTTTTCAATCGTCTGTAGCTAGCTGAGTCAGCATTCATTCTCAAGCCATTGTAGACTGCAGCAGTCTTTCATGTCCTCAGCATAAAGAATACACAGTGCATGACAGAGCATTGCCAAAGAAATGCATGTGAGCGTGCTTTGTGTCTTGCCTCATCAATATTGAGGCACATAGCTTGATGACAGCCTGGTGGTAAGACAACAATTCAACACCATGATGAACAATAACTGTGATGATGACACCTACTTGGCCCAGTCCTTATCCACCTATCACTACACCTGTATGTTGCAGTATAAGGAGTTAGAGTGAGTCATGCTATGATTCAGTGCCCCTCACAGGGCACCTAGGGTTCACCAAAATCCTAAAACCCAAGTGGGTCTCACAATAGTCCTGGTGAAAACCTCTACAATTTTGCATAAGGTTAGCAGTCTGTCAGCATCAGCAGCATGTCATGCTGGGGCTAACCTTACATCCGGTGCAACTTGGTGTACAAGCTTGCTGCTCTCGAACGCATCGACCATGCCGATGTAGAAAGCCCGCCTGCCTTGTAGCCAATCTGAGGCTACACACATACTGTACCAGGTGTATCTACTGCTTGATTACAAAATGTATTCTGCTCAATATACATCCAAACACATGTAGGTATCAGCGCTTGCGCTTGGTCCCTTTGGCCTCTTGCTTCAAGATTTGCTTGGCGAGAGCCTCTGACCACAACGCCCTTTCCACCTGAGCAGCTGTCCAACTTGTACCTGACGCCTTGCTTAGCATTGCAGCTTTGTTGCGCAGTGCATCCACCAGCTGGATGTACTTCTTGACAGTGTACTC